GACGGCGGTCCGGCCGCAGCGGGAGAGCACCGTCGTTTTCTTGACTTTGCTAGGCAGACTTCTGATGATCAGGCCTCAGCGTGATCTTAGGTCGCGGGCCTCGTGGGGGCGGCGGTCTGCGGCGGCTGTCAGAGCGAGAGCGAGGGCGGCCGCCCTGTCTGCGCTGGGCTGTTTGAGTCTGCGGAGGGGGGCGCTGTGGTGGAGCTCTGGCAGGAGGCTCGCGAGAGCGGCCCGCGGAAGAGCTAGCGCGGCGGGGCAGAAACAAATTCATCGCCTGAGTAGCTTTCTGGACCTCAGAAAAGCGATCGACGATTCCCGTGACAGCAGATCCAAAAAGACCCGTCGGGGAGAGGGGCGCGTTAAGAAACGCGGCGCGCTCAGAATCTCCCATGTCGGCGAGCGTGAGCCATAAGTGTCTCTCGGCAACACAAAGGCTGGCCATGCATCTCCCCAGAGCTTGTGCGGCGGCTTTAGTGGCGCGAAGGGCGAGGCCCGTAGCACTTCTCAGATCCGTGACAGCGGGGGAGGGGTTTCTACCGCCTTCGGCCCACTCACGGAGAATATCGCTCTGTAATACTTGGAGGACAGACATCGAATGTAGCGCTGCGGCGGCCTGACCGGCGGCGGCGCAGGCGCGAGCATGAAAGCTCGAGGTCGCTCTGCAAGCTTTCGAAGGAAGCGTGGGGGAAGAGCGCCATCTAGCAGAGGGCGGGCAGAGGTGTGCGGCGACCAAGTCCTCGACGGGCGGCATGGCTGAGTAGCCTTTCTCGGCGGCTCCGTCCACCGAGCGCAGCGAGGCGGATATATCAGAGCGGTTTCTAGCCGAGAGCGGGGCATTCCAGGACTTCGTCAGCTCTGCGTGAAGTTCAGGCAGGAATGGAGCGGCCCGGTTGCACGCGGGGGTCGAGCGCCGATGAAAAAAGCTGCCGTCCATCCGGTTCGGGGCCTGCTCGGGTGGAGGAGACCACTCGAGACCGAGGCGTTCGACGGCCTGTGAGAGGAGGCGCATTAGTTCCTCCTCTATCCCGGCGCGGATCCCCGCCGATTCTCTCGTGGATCCGAGAGATGACCATTCTTCACTGTCTGATGCGAGCAGTGAACAGGAGTCCTTCTCCTCCGCGGCGTCATCGGAAGCGACAGAGCGGCCACTCGGCGGCAACTGTATGTCCGGCAGGGGCGGGGAGGGAGAGCGGGAAGCGGGAGGCGGCGGCGGCGGCCCGCATTGTTCCGCTGGGGGCTCCGGCGGCCTCTGGGAGCGGCGTTTTTTCTTACGCGGCGAAGAGAAAGGCGGCGCGGGAGCGGATTTTGCTGCCAGAAGTCGTGCCCGCAGGGACGACAACGGCAGGCTCTCACAGAAGTCGCATCCTCCATCCGCGAGGGCGAGTTCTGCGTGCCCGAGTCCCAGGCAAAGAGCGCAGATGACATGGCGGTCTCCGTCCTCGAGACGAGCGCGGCAAGAGCCGCAGGAAAAACGAGACATCTTTAAAAAGACGCTCGGCTCTTTTAGATATAATAGAGAAGGATACAGTCGTCGGATGGCGCTAGCTTGCAGGGCGGCTGAAGGTGGCGAAGACGGCCGGCTTCTTAAGGGTCCGGGAGCTCGCTAGAGTGATGCCTTCTCGACGGCGACGGCTTTTCTCAGGACAGCAGAAGCGTGCAGCTTGCTGAAGATGAAATGAATCAACATATAAGCCTGGGAGAGACTGTTATATACACCATGGCCACGCCCATTCTGGCGGGCCATGACGCAATGAGCGCGCGGGCGCCTCTCATTGGAAGCGGGTTCAGCCCCGCTCTCCTATAGGCTTAAGCAGTTCTCTCTGAGCGAACCAATGAGCTGCTAGCTAGCCTGCTCTAGGTCTGCCGCAGAGGAACTGCGTTGTGTATGGATACAAATTATGAAATAATTTTTGGCTTCAATATCTCAGCAAAGATGAATCTTTCCCGCAGCGTAAGCTAGCTTACGCAAAACGAGAGAACCTCTCGTAAGAGAACAGGCTGTTTGCTACTTTACCTTTGAGACTTATGATTGGCTAATCTCCATTATTTTTTTGTTTATTTGTTTATTTATTTAGCTAATGCTAATTTTCAACTCCTGTCCCTGATTGGGATTTTCTAAGTACATTATAAAACATTCACATTTCTTCAAACATACGCTTACTCACTCACTCACTTACTCACTCACTCACTCACTCACTCACTCACTCACTCACTCACTCACTCACTCACTCAAACACACACACTCACACAAACAGACAGAAAATGACAATATTTAAAAATGGCTATAGTTTTGGTTTGTCTTTAGCCATCATTGTATATGGAGTTAAGCGGAGTGGCTGAAAAGTAACATTAATAGAACGTTCATTCTAAGTTATCTGATCTTTAATAATGCTCTCAAAACTTTAGCAAAAAAACATTATTTAAACATCATTCATGGAAGGTTTTTTCTACAACGTTTGTGTTGGACATTCGTCTAACATTTTTTAAATGTTGCTACTCTTGTTTCAGAATGTTCCGAAAACATTAAAAAGTAAAATTCCCATAATGTTTGCAAACTGATCAAATTGAATGATTCCTTACTGTTCAGATAACCCAAAAACATTTTTTTTTAAATAAAAATTCTGAAATACTTTTTTCATAACTTAATATGAACATTAGCAAAATGTTCTTAGTTGGGTACATATTACATCAAACATATTTTAGAGTTTTGTGGCTTTTATGCGTGTTAGCTTTTAATGCAACTTCTTAATATACTTTTAGCAGATACATGCATTTAGAATTTACGATAACAGTTTGCAACATAAGCTAACAATGAGCAATATATTTTTACAGCATTAACTTTTTTTAATGTTAGTTAATAACAATGTTCATGTTCATGTTAGTACACAGTGCATTAACTTATGTTAACAGATACAACTTTTGATCTTATACATGTATAGTGAATGTTGAGATTAACATTAGCTAATATAATAAATATTGTAGAAGTATTGTTCAATGTTAGTTCAATGTAGTTATCTAATATTAACAAAAAAAAAACTTATTGTAAAGTGTTACCGAATTTACAATCTTTCTCTAACTCGGAATATGCTGAAAATATTAATGACTCTTCCTGCAACTATACATTGTAAAAAATTATATGATCAATCAGTTATAACAACATATGTTTTTACATTGCTTTAACTCATCAAAATAAGTTCAAGTTTCAACTTGTTATTAAATTATACAAGATTCAACTCTTTTTTTTAAAGCTGCAGTCTGCAGTTTTTCCTCTTTGTCGCCATCTTTGTTCGAAATCTGCAATTGCAGTTATTCGCAGAATTATCAACTTTACGCGAGTTGTACCTCGGCACGGCAGTGTGGATGAATCCAATGTTTGAGGAGAATGTGCAGCTGTCAGTCACCGCGCCGGTGTAATACTGGCATTCGGAATCACAGATTATTCTTTTTGGAAGTATGACCAACATAATCATTTTCACCCTTGTCATCTGAACAAGTAAGTAACATCCACGTTTGTTCTGACCAAAAGCATTGCAGTAAATCGCGCTGATTAAATCTAACGATCGCTTATCATATCACGTCAAACCGTGCAAATTATACTTTGTTGTCAAATTGTTAATGTTATCAACATCAGCATTGCGTGACTACATTTAAAGCCCTTCAGATATTTATCCTTGTTTTCGCATGGGCCGGTTGCAATCTCTTTTTCCAAACTCTCAGTCAAAAGTCTTTTGCATTTTACAACGGGTGAATCTCCAGTTGTCACTGGTGATTGTCGTTTGAACCTTTCTGGATCCGCCATCAAATTGATAAGTTTAATTATATCAAGTGCTGTGAGAAAAGGCTATAAATCTCCAACTCCAACATCCTCACAGGCAATATAGCCTACTAGCCGAGACTCCTTCTTTATGTGTACAGATGTGACGTAATGACGCAAAGACATGCTCGAATCTCCCGCGGAAACCCACCGCACTGGAATTAAAAACATTATTACAAGCTTACCGCTTTGAATCGAGCTAAGGCAATGAGATAGTTTTGAACACTGGCTCTTTATGTACTTGCTCAAAAAATTATTTGGGATAATTTTTAACCCAAAAAAGTTACGGACTGGAGCTTTAAGCCAGTTTAATGCAATTTAAGTTGAATTGACTTAAACGTCCAAGTTGATTGTACTTAAAAATTTAAGGCTGACACTTTTCTTTTTTTTTTACAGTGTACACAGATTTATTTTTATTTTATTTTCTCCAATGAAATGCTTACTAGAATAAGAATATCACAAATAACTGAAGGAACTTTTTATAGTTCTTTATACATAACACTAAACCACAACAACAGAAAAACGGTATGTTGTTGCATGCCTAATATTTTTGGCAGGATGAGGTGAATACTGATGTAACAGTTAAAGCATTTGCACTCGGTGTACCTGATAAAAATGTCTCCTCTTTGTCTGTCTGTTTGCGATTGACGTCTCATCTATCCCAGAACCCTTTGCTGTTCATGGGTCACTGCGAAAGTTTACTTTTTCTGTTCTTTTGACAAGAGATTAATTTAAGGTTGAGGTGTATACTAAGTAGACTTTGGTAGAAAATTATAGTGTTATATTTCCTTCCAGCAAGAGCACTTTTGAGATTTACTATAATTATCATGATGAGATTTTCTCTAAATCCCAAAATTGGGGTAATTATGTATAGCTGTTTTATTGAATTCTAGGATATCCCCATCTGAGACTTGGTACATGACAACGATGTACTAAAAACGAAAAAAAAAAAATTCCTTCGCGTTTTGCACGTACAGACGACAACATTGTCAAAACGATTCCCGTTCACACGGATCTGCGAAAACTATTAAAAACCCTGCATTATGCATGCCAGGCCAGTAGTTGGCGATGTCACTTTGTAAAGAAACTACGCGCCTATAGACTGAACAGAATGACGTCACCGTTTACACAAATTCGCGTTTTCGTAGTTTGCACAGACAAAAACAGTATCGTTTTCAAAAACTTGCACTTTGAAACCTGTTTTCAAAAGTCTGTTTTCAGGCCCCCAAAACGCATAAAAAGTGTCCAGTTTTTTGTCAAAAACGGTGTCGTGTAAACACCCTCTCAGAAAAACAACAACCTACCTGGTGTGAAATGACAACAAATCTGCAATTAACACAGAATTACCTTCCACACCTTGAGGTTTAATAATTAATGCCAATCAAAACCAGAAACAGCATTCTTTGATAGAATGATCTGTTCTGAGATAACAGCTCACACCTACCAATTATCTCCTTATGTTCCTCATCTATCACTGGCTGTCTTATCATTCCTCATGTTACAGGGTGTTTCCGTGATGGCTTTACAATCCTGCAGAAATGTGTGTTTTAAGTCTTCATTCTCGTGATCAGATTCACATTTTAAGATCTGCTCCACTTCTGTGTCCCTGACAATGAGTGATATAGCCTCCTCTCCCTCTTCAACATCACTTATATCATTGGTCAGATCCAGCTGATGAGTACAATGCTTTAGGCCTATTGCAGTGTCTGCAAAGTAACAAAAAAAAAGGTTACACTTTCTTTCGATAGTCCATTTTAGACATTCTACTAACTTAAAGTAACGCTGCAACTACTTGTCAACTAACTCTCAGAGTATTAGTAGACTGTAATAGACTGTTACATTAGGTTTAGGTGTTAGGGATAGGGTTAGTAGAATAAGTTTTGCAGTAGAATATAGTTGCAAAGTTACTTATAGTTAAAAGAGTATAAAGTGGACCATTGAGTGTTACCACAAAAAGAAATATTTCGAATCAACCAAGTGTTGAATGTATTTTACATTTCTTATTTAAACATAAAATTTGTTTTATTATTTTGGTAACACTTTACAATAAGGTTCATTAGTTAACATTATTTAACTACCTTAGTTAATATGAACTAAGAATGAACAATACTTCTTTAGCATTTATTCATATAGTTAATATTAATTTCAACATTTACTAATACATTATTAAAATCAAAGCTTGTATTTGTTAACATTAGCTAATGCACTGTGAACTAACATGAACAATGAACAGCTGTATTTAACTAATGTTAACAAAGATTAATAAATACTGTAACAGATGTATTGCTCATTGTTAGTTGATGCATTATTTAATGTTAACTAATGAAATTTTAACTTAAAACCTAAAAATATTTTTCCTGGCATAAAGCTCATCTAAAAGGGTACCTGTCACAAAACATCCTCATATTTGTCATATTTGGAAGAAAACTGTTGGCATTGTAGTCAAAACAACTCTTTGACCCCGAAACATAATTGAACTTAATGCACTGAAGTCAAAATCGAAAGTCTAAGTTTTATCATTTTTTTAAATCTTTCTTTTCAAAACAATTAAGATTTATATCACTATCGGCTGTCAGAAAGAAATGTTACTAAGAAAATTGAGTTTAAACAACTTTACATTATTTCACAGAATTTGTATTTATTCAAACATGCAAAGTTCGGGTTTGGAAGAAGTCTCTTCTGCTGGCTGCACGTATTTGATCAAAAATATTATAGTAAACCCGTAACATTGTGAAATATTACAATTTAAAACAACTGTTTTCTATTTGAATATATTTTGTAAAAATGTAATTTATTCCTGTGATCAAAGCAAATTTTTCAGCATCATTACTCCAGTCTTCAGTGTCACCCTTCAGAAATCATTCTAATATGCTGATTTACTCAAGAAACATTTATTGATCCACTTCTGTGTCCCTGACAATGAGTGATATAGCCTCCTCTCCTTCTTCAACATCACTTATATCATTGGTCAGATCCAGCTGATGAGTACAATGCTTTAGGCCTATTGCAGTGTCTGCAAAGTAACAAAAAAAAGTTACACTTTCTTTCGATAGTCCATTTTAGACATTCTACTAACTTAAAGTAACGCTGCAAACACTTGTCAACTAACTCTCAGAGTATTAGTAGACTGTAATAGACTGTTACATTAGGTTTAGGTGTTAGGGATTGGGTTAGTAGAATAAGTTTTGCAGTAGAATATAGTTGCAAAGTTACTTATAGTTAAAAGAGTATAAAGTGGACCATTGAGTGTTACCACAAAAAGAAATATTTCGAATCAACCAAGACACTGTATTTTACATTTCCTATTTAAACATAAAATTTGTTTTATTATTTTGGTAACACTTTACAACAAGGTTCATTAGTTAACATTATTTAACTACCTTAGTTAATATGAACTAAGAATGAACAATACTTCTTCAGCATTGATTCATATATTAATTTCAACATTTACTAATACATTATTAAAATCAAAGCTTGTATTTGTTAACATTAGTTAATGCACTGTGAACTAACATGAACAATGAACAGCTGTATTTAACTAATGTTAACAAAGATTAATAAATACTGTAACATATGTATTGCTCATTGTTAGTTGATGCATTAACTAATGAAATTTTAACTTAAAACTTAAAACCTAAAAATATTTTTCCTGGCATAAAGCTCATCTAAAAGGGTACCTGTCACAAAACATCCTCATATTTGTCATATTTGGAAGAAAACTGTTGGCATTGTAGTCAAAACAACTCTTTGACCCCGAAACATAATTGAACTTAATGCACTGAAGTCAAAACGAAAGTCTAAGTTTTATCTTTTTTTTTTCATCTTTCTTTTCAAAACGATTAAGATTTATATCACTATTGGCTGTCAGAAAGAAATGTTACTAAGAAAATTGAGTTTAAACAACTTTACATTATTTCACAAAATTTGTATTTATTCAAACTATTCTCTTCTGCTCACCTCGGCTGCACGTATTTGATCAAAAATATTATAGTAAACCCGTAACATTGTGAAATATTACAATTTAAAACAACTGTTTTCTATTTGAATATATTTTTTAAAATGTAATTTATTCCTGTGATCAAAGCTAATTTTTCAGCATCATTACTCCAGTCTTCAGTGTCACATGATCCTTCAGAAATCATTCTAATATGCTGATTTACTCAAGAAACATTTATTAATATCAATGTTAAAAACAGTTGCTTAATATTTTTCTGGAAACATTGTTTTCAGGATTATGAAATAGAAACATTTTGTAAGATTATGTTATAAACGTCGTCACTGTGACTTTTGATAAACTTAATGTGTCCTTAAAAAAAGTATTAAAAAAATGTTTTACTGCCCCCAAACTTTTGAAGAGTAATGTACATTTAAATAAGGCATCTATAATAGTAAGATGTTGACTAAAGAACTATCTATCCAGTCCACCATCATCATTACCTGGGTCTTGGAGGAAATGACTGACAGGTACAAGCCCCTCCCTCTCATCTGACTGTCCAATCCTGGCTTGATTCTCAGATATAGGGGATTTCTCGCACCCAGTATTGATCCCTTCAGCCAAACCATTGGTGCCGTCCACAATTTTAGTCTGTTCCACGTGTGTTTCTGTGTTAGGACCCCGTTCAGCGGACGAGGCGTCTGGGCTGTTTTTGGAGGAAGCTTGAGAGTCAACAGATTCATATGTCTTCTCTCTCATGTCATCTGAATCTCTTTGAATGCTCAGGTTGGAAAGATCTGACTCAATCTGAATAGTTGGTAAGTTGATTTGGTGTGAGGAGCTAATCTGTGGCTCATTTTTATCTTGAGTGCTTAAAATACTTTCAGGAATAGATGTGTCATTGCACTGAGGAGGCTCTGTTGCACGGGATTCTGGGAAGAGTGGTGAATGCTGGGAGAAAAGTGTATCAGCACTGGATTCTTCTGTGTGGATTAAAGGTGTGTTCATCTCTTCCTTCTCATTTCCATGGTCACTCTTCACCTGTTCAACAGCTTCTTCTGTAGCCTCATCCCTCTTTATAATCTCCTCCTCCCTGAGCACAGTCACATTCACTGTTCGGTCTACATCCACACGTGACATTCGTTTATTGTCTTGGATCTTTCGCTTTTCCATCATCCCACCTTGTCCTTTTTCCCTTTCATGTTCTTCCATGATGTTCCCATATTCTTCTGTCATTTTCCAATTCAGTTCTTTGCGTTCTTCCAGACTTTTTCTGTCTTCATGGCTTTCCCCAATTTTACAATCTTGCTCTTTTTCTCTCATATATTCGAACATCATATTTGTATTTTGTATTTTTCCCCTCTCAAGCTCTTCCATAATTTCCCAATCCTGTTCATCCAACCTTCTACCATCTTGGTCTTCATCATCATGCGACTGTATAATTGTCAAATCTTGCACTTTTCCACTCTCATATTCTTCCTCACATTTGTCTACAATTTTTCCATTTTTCTCATTTTCTTGTCCACAGTCCTCCGTAATTTTCACATATTTAATTTTTTCTGTTTCAAATACATGTTCTTCTATGATGTCTCCATCTTGTATTTGTTTTTGTACTTTGTCTTCTATCATTTTCCAATCCTGCTTTTTTTCACTCTCGTGTTCTTCTGGACTTTTCCCGTCTTCATGTTTTACTACAATTTTCCCATCTTGTTCTTTTTCATTGTCATGTTCTTTTTCACATTTTTCTACAATTTTTCCATCTTGCGCATCTTCTTGGCCATATTTTTCCATCATTTTCACATATTGTATATTTTCAGTCTCAAATACTTCCATGCTTGTCTCTTTTTCACTGTTAAACGCATCAACAATTTTCCTATCTTGTTTTTCTTCACTTCCATGTTTTTCCACTATTTTTCCATCAATTTCCCCACCTTGTTCCTTTTCACTGTCATGTTCATCCTCACGTTTTTCTACAATTTTCCTATCTTGCTCATTTTCTTGCCCACATTCTTCCATCCTTTTCACATATTGGGTTTGCGCAGTCTCAAATACTTCCATGCTTTTCCCGTCTTGTTCTATTTTCCTGTCAAATGCCTCCACATTCATCCCATCTTGCTCTTTTCCTCTCATATGTTCTAACAGTATTTTTGCATCTAATTCATCAATCATTTTACAATCTTGTTCCTTTTCACTGTCATGTTCTTCCTCGCATTTCCTCACATCTAATTTTTTTCCATATTGCTTATTTTCTTGCCCACATTCTTCCATCATTTTCCCATATTTTTCAGCCTCAAAAGCTTCCATGTTTTTTCCATCTTGTTCATTTTCATTGTCAAATACATTTACAATTTTTCCGTCTTGCTCATGTTCTTCCATAATTTTTTCATTCTCGCATTCTTTCAAACTTTTCCCATCCTCCTCGTATTTTTCTGTAATTTCCCTATCTTGCTCTTTTTCTAATACACATTCTAACATAATTTTAGCATGTTGTATTTTTTCACTCTCTTCTTCCTCCATAATTTTCCCATCTTGTTCTTTTCCACACTCACGTTCTTCCAACATTTTCCCATCTTGTTCTTTTCCACTCTCACATTCTTCCAACTTTTTCTCATCTTGTTCTTTTCCATAATCACGTTCTACCAACATTTTCCCATCTTCTTCTTTTTCACTCTCACGTTCTTCCAACATTTTCCCATCTTGTTCTTTACCACTCACCCGTTCTTCCAACATTTTCCCATCTTGTTCTTTTCCACTCTCACATTCTTCTAACTTTTTCCCATCTTGTTCTTTTCCAATCCCATGATCTTCCTCCATTTCCCCATCTTGTTCTTTTCCACTCTCACGTTCTTCTAACATTTTCCCATCTTGGTCTTTTCCACTCTCACGTTCTTCCACCATTTCCCCATCTTGTTCTTTTCCACAATCACGTTCTTCCAACATTTTCCCATCATGTTCTTTTCCACTCCCACAACCTTCCACCATTTTCCCATCTTGTTCTTTTCCACTCTCACATTCTTCCAACTTTTTCCCATCTTGTTCTTTTCCATAATCACGTTCTACCAACATTTTCCCATCTTCTTCTTTTCCACTCTCACGTTCTTCCACCATTTCCCCATCTTGTTCTTTTCCACAATCACGTTCTTCCAACATTTTCCCATCATGTTCTTTTCCATAATCACGTTCTACCAACATTTTCCCATCTTGGTCTTTTCCACTCTCACGTTCTTCCACCATTTCCCCATCTTGTTCTTTTCCACAATCACGTTCTTCCAACATTTTCCCATCATGTTCTTTTCCACTCCCACAACCTTCCACCATTTTCCCATCATGTTCTTTTCCACTCCCACAACCTTCCACCATTTTCCCATCTTGTTCTTTTCCACTCTCACATTCTTCCAACTTTTTCCCATCTTGTTCTTTTCCATAATCACGTTCTACCAACATTTTCCCATCTTCTTCTTTTCCACTCTCACGTTCTTCCAACATTTTCCCATCTTGTTCTTTTCCACTCACCCGTTCTTCCAACATTTTCCCATCTTGTTCTTTACCACTCTCACGTTTTTCCATCCTTTTACCATTAGATTCTTTTTCACTTTCATGTTTTCCCATAATCATCCCATCATGTTCCTCCTCCTCTTTTTCACCTCCCTTCCCCTTTTCCTGACCCCTTCTCTCTCCATCCTTCCCTGGCACATCTTTCCCCCCATCTTTAATCTCCCTTTCCTCATTCTTTTCCTCCACATCTTCCTCAACCGTAGGTATAACAGATGCCCGAGCAGTAAAATCTCTCCCCGGTTCCAGGTCTTTCAGCATTCGTGGGGCAACAGGCAGCGCAGGAAGCGGTCTGGCGGGGGGCTCTGGTACCAAAAGACTTGATGGAGGAAGAGATGACATAGGGGTGTCTAAGGGGTCAACAAGTGTCTCAGGCTGGTTCACAACCGGTTCCGGTGAATTCTCAAAACCAGAGGGAGGGGGTGGAAACTCATCCACCATCTCTGATTCCCCGGTTTTGAGCTGCTCCGCAGTTACTGGAGTTGGATAAAAGACCAGACTATCTAGTATATCACCAATAGGAGTTTCTGTTTCAGATTCATTAGCATCAGTTGAAGGGGGTTGAGTTTGGAGGAGTGGCGCGGGGCCAGCGGCAGTTACGGCACATGACTCCATTATCTTACTTGAAGACAGGTGGATCTGGCTTTTGATAGATACCGTTGCACAATTCTGCAATGAGGAAGCTGCAGTGTTAGTGAAAAGAGTTGGGTTCTGGGATGTGGGAACCGACTGAAAGTAAGGAGATGATGATCTGTACGGGGATGCAGGTGGAGAAGAAGCTGATTCATTGAAACTGAAGAGACTGTCCGTCTGACTGCGATGCACTTGTCTACAGAGACCCCTGACTGCAAAAAATGAGAAAAAGATTTCATAACAAATGGCACTAAAATATGAAAATTACAGTTACAAACTAAACTAGACTACTGACATTCTAATCAACAAATCAGTCAACACGTCAAGTGGCAGACACGCACATTCAGTTACCAAACACCCTGTTTTTGGTTTTGTTATTTTTATCTTATTTTATTTACAACTCAAATGTGTCAATTGATTACTATGAATTCACCATATATTTACCTAACTGGTAACACTTTACATTAAGTTTTAGTTTGTTAGTTAATACATTAATGATGAACTAAAATTTCAAATGAAATTTTTATTGTTTTGTTTTGAAAGATGTTCACCAAGTCTGCATTTATTTGATCAAAATACAGTAAATGCTGTAATAAATGTTCTATTTTAATATATTTTAAAATGCAAATTATTCCTGTGACGTCAAAATGAATTTTCAGCATCATCAATCCAGTCTTCAATGTCACATGATCCTTCAGAAATCATAACATGCTGATTTGATGCTCAAGAGACATTTCTTACTATTATCAATGTTGAAAACGGTTGTGCGGCTTTTTGTGAAAACCCTGATACAATATTTTAGGATTATTTGTTGTATAGAAAGTTTAAAAGAACACCATTTATTTGAAATATTAATCTTTTGTAATAATGTAAAAAAAATCTTTACTGTCACTTTTGACCAATTTAATGATGAATAAAAGTATTAATTTCCTAAATACATGGACTGCAAACTTTTAATCAGTAGTGATGAAATACACTGTAAAAATAGTTGCTGCCTTAAATTTTTAAGTGCAATCAACTTTCAGTCATTTCAAATTAAATTACATTAAACTGACTTTAAAAAAAATGAGTTGAATCTTGTATAACTTATAAAAAAAAGTTGCAAATTGCTTAACTTATTTTTATGAGTTAAAGCAATGTAAAAACATATGTTGTCAAAACTTACTGATCATATAACTTTTTACAGTCCAGAAGCAAATGTACTGTTCCGTGTCTAATATAATAACAATTTGAACACTTCTGATCATTACATCAAAGCTTCTTGTGCTGGCATAAAAATTCAAAAATAAATTACTTTGGATTTTAAAATAAGTTCTCAAATGTAAGACATATTTGGTCAGTAGCGAAGTCGTTCTCGCCGGAACACGTGCCGGTTCTCTTTGTATTTCACTTTACCTGGATATGGTGAGCTGGGACTGGAGGCTGTGTGGACACTTGTGGAGGACAGTTGTCTGAAAAACTCTCTGGTGTTTGCAACACGCTGAGACACAAGAGCTGCTGCCTCCTGCTGGCCATAAACAGTATTACATCACAGCATTAAATTCATAGGCCATAAAGAATTTAAGCGAGGCGTTTAGTGCAGGCTCTGATGGTCTTCGGGGTCTATTGGACCCCAAATGACTTTTGCTCAAATTAAAAAAAAGTTCTCTTTGTCCAAATGGTTTGAAACTTTCTACGGCTCTCAACACTTTCTAGATCTACAAAAAATATATATATATATTTAATGATATCTGTTTTTATGTTGGCGTGACAAAAATAGTCACACTCGTGGTCTTCGGGGTCTATTGGACCCAGCAATCAAAATAGACAAAATAACATCATCAAAATCAGAAACAACGTAGAACACATAGACAGAAATGACAGAAATAAAGTGGCACACTTCCAACAATGCAAAAAACATCCACAATCCAAAATTATCATGCTCAGCACAGGCGCACACACACACACAAACTCACACATAAAGAGGAATACATTTATACAGGAATACATACAGACTATAAAAACTGTTCTCTTATCATTTGTAAAATAAAATAATCTAAAATGCAGAACCACCAGAAAAATAAATTGGTAACACTTAGATGCATTGAAAATGTGCGCACACACACATACACACACACACACACACACACACACACACACACACACACACACACACACACACACACACACACAGACACACAAACACACACACACAGGAATACATTTGTAAGGCTATAAAAAGTCTTATAATTTGTCAAATAAAATCATACAAAATGCAGGTCCACCACAAAAATAAATTGGTGACACTGTACACATAAAAATAAAAATAAAATGTACACACACACACACAACAACAACAACAACAGTGAAGTGCCAAACCTACTCCAACCCTGTCTGCAGAAGTCATGCGGTTTACCATGCATAGGGTTTTTTCAGTACAAAAAATGCTAAATTTTGACAAAATTATTTTATTTTTGTTATAATTGTGATTTTATAATATTTAGATATGAATCCAACTTTAGAAACTATATCTTTCAGTAATTCAAATAGCAAATAGCATATAATGGAGCTCTATAGCCATCTAGTGGTTAAAGTGATTTATTACAAATTTTAACCTGTATTTTCCAAAAAATGGGCAAAAATCTTGCATTAAACCTTGTAAAATTATCCATGGTATCCCCAGGAATGAAAGTTAGAAATCTGGGTCTTTTATAAAGTTTATTTAACATAAAATGCTGTTTTTTTTGTAAAAATCCTATTTCATTAAATATTTATTTATTTATTTATAGAAATTTAAAGAAAATCATAAATTCTCCAAAAACTGCACAAATGTTGAGTAAAAACATTAATAAACAGAGTAAAATTATATTTGTTAAAAAAAATTTATATTGTTCAGTTACAAAATTAAATGTTGTTGTCTGGGGTCCAATAGACCCCGAAGACCACGAGTGTGACTTTTTTTTGAAGACCATCAGAGGGTTAAGTTTGATTGACAGAACTCACCGAAAATTTTTCCTCTGATTCAGAGCGGACATATCTAGCTCTCACTTCCTCTTCTTCACGCTCCCTTTCCTGGTGCTCCTGTGATATAAATATATATATATATATATATATATAAACTTTGAACATGTGCATGTAAACACACACAGAAACACATTATTCATACCCATTTTAATTTCTCTTGTTTGTGGCCCTCTGCTTCCATTTTGGCCTGTATTCTCCTATAAAAAATTTAAAAAAAGATTTTAAAAGTTCACTTTTGGCCCTTGGGAATTTTGTGCATGAGGGAATGTTTGACTGACCTCTGCTCCTTTATTTTTTGTTCCTTTTCATTCAACCTCCTATCTCTCTCCATTGTATCTCTCTTTTCCTGGAGCATTCGCTCTCTCTCTCTCTGCCTCCTGTCCTCTGCTGCCCTCCGCTGTTCCTCCTTTTTCCTTTCCTCCTCTTCTCTCTGTAAATAAATATAGTAAGAAACCGACCTCTGACTGTTATTGTATTGCGTGCAACTTTTAGAGAAAAAGTTGGGTAAGCCTTGGACTTGCTAACACAAGTTAGCTAGCTGTCAATTATCTTTTCTTTTTTTTGATAAAGTGTTAGTTCACCCAAAAATTAAAATTATGTCATTTATCACTCACCCTCATGTCATTCCAAACTCATAAGACATTTGTTTGGCAAGATTCATACGACAATCTGAGAGCTTTCTGTCCCTCCATTGACAGCCTACGCAACTTCCACACATTCAAGCCTCAGAATGGTAATAAAGGCATCATTAAAGTAATCCATGTGACTCCAGTGGTTTAACCTCAATTTTATGAAGTGATGCAGAATATTAATCTACAACGAACGCACATTCACGCAATAACATCAGGTCCCGCGTCAACACAACACAAATGCGTCTTGGTGGTCTCATGAATGTGCGTTGGAGATTAATATTTTGTAAATAAACTGGTAGCCATAAATTAAGATTTTTTTGCGCAAACAAAGCACTTGCGTCGCTTCATAAAATTTGGGTTAAACCACTGTTAGCCACGTGGATTGCTTTTATGATGCCTTTACTACCTTTCTGGGGCTTGAAAGTGGTAGTTGCGTAGACTGTCAATGGAAGGACAGAAAGCTCTCAGATTTCATTAAAAAGATCTTCATTTGCGTTTCAAAGATGAACAAAAGTCTTACGGGGTTGGAACGACATGAGTGTGAGTAATTAATGACAGAATTTATGTTTTTGGGTGAACTATCCCTTTAATATAAAATAAACATTTATAGTAAAAAATAAATGTGTAAGTTCAGACATCCAATAAAATAATGTGCCATTGGTTAATAATTAAAAAACACAAAATATTCAACAACTTTATTATTATTATTTGTTAATTGTAAACTGTGATTTATTACCAATTACACATAACATGAGTGGTACCAGAATTTACTCTTGTGACATAACTATTTATTTATTTATTTTGGAGGTGTATTGGTAATGTCAGCACATTTGGAGATCTGGAGAGTTATTCTTTTCTTGCCATAACATTCATAATATCAACCGTGTAAAGAATAACAGGCAACAATGAAAAAGAAAGTTTAAAATCTCACACCGTACCTCTGCTTGTGCCCAGAAAGAATCCCTCTGGATTCTCTGGATCTCTGCGGCTGCGATTGTTCGCTTGTAATTAGTGCCCTGGAAATGTTAAGGAGTCAGTTTGATTTGTTTACCATTTTCCTGATTTTAATAGAGTTTAATTGTCTGACTGGCTATACTTTTCAAAACGACTTCATCACTCAGGATTCGTAAAGCCTTCCCTCTTGTGGTAAGAAATAGTCATGGTGTCATACCACAATGGCCTGTCTGTCTTCCACCCGGCGCCCGGGTCTCCCTCTCGGCCCCTTCGTGACCACTGCAGCATTATAGGCCAGTGTACAGATCCGCTCTTCTGTGATTTCATCCAAAGTGTGGGCGGGAAGAAAGATGTGAACTTCCTGAAGCACCAGAAAGACAAAAATAGCAATTTTTTAATGTCTTTATCTTTTTATTTTAAACATATAATCCATCCTGACAAGAAAGACATGCAGTCTAAAATGACTTCTAAAAGAAAAGATTTGATTAAAAAAAAAATCTAATTTAAGATCTGCATGCTCATGATCACAAAACAAGAACGACTATTATGTTCCCTAATTCGAATTATCTCTACATACGAATAAGCAACAAAAGAATTCAACAGGTTTTCACTGAGGCAGAACCCTTAAAAGGCCAACTTTGTACCTTATCTACCCTTAAAAAGTGCAGTTTACCCATTTTTTTTTTTTTAATTACCCTAAAAGTACTATGTTTACAGCTAAATAAGGTTTGAAGATGTCCCTTTAAACTGCGATAGTTCACCAAAAAATGAAAATTGTGTCATCATTTACTCATCCTCAAGTTGTTCTAAACCTGTATGAGTTTCTTTCTTCTGCTGAACACAAAAGAAGATATTTTGAAGAATGGATAACCAAACAGTTGATACCCCATTGACTTCCATAGTCAATACTTTTTTTCCATACTGTGGAAGTCAATGGGGCCCATCAACTGTTTGATTATCCATATTCTTCAAAATATCTTCTTTTGTGCTCAGCAGAAGAAAGAAACTCATACAGGTTTGGAACAACTTGAGGGTGAGTAAATGATGACAGAATTTTCATTTTGGGAGAACTATCCCTTTAAAAGTTACTGCCCCAGTGACAAGCTTTAGAACCCCTTAAAGTACAACGTGTAAAAAAAAAAAAAAAATCTGAGTCTGTTCTAAATTTGATACAATTAAAGCCGATATTGTCCCATAATCCCTCCCCTCTGGTACCTTAAAGAAGTTCCTGATCGCTGGTACATGACTCGCACACTCAGCTTTGCGGTACTCGTCCACTTCATTTCCAACCTGAGAGCCCACAAACACTGGTTAAGGGGGAATAAAGTCAAGTGTTTTACATCAAACAGTGAATTGTGTGGAGGATGAACTAACCCATAATATCATAACGATGCAGGGTTGAGCTGTGCCCACTCTGCACATCCCGTAAAGTGGCCGTATGGGGTGGAGTTTAGTCGACAATTCTTTCAATCCACCTACTATAAAAAAAAAAAATCATAAAAACAAGCTCCAAAACATACTGTAAAACATTATTTAAAAGGCTTTATGTGCACTTACCTCCAGAATCAGCCAGTTTGAGCCGGTTCATTATTCCATCATAGGCAAATAAAGCCCTGTACACAGAGAATAAAACGGCCACAAGGAATATTAAGGTTTGTGTAATTTCATTAGGATGGATAACTCAATAACAAAGACTAATGTATTTTAAGTTCTCTGACATTTTAACAGTCATATGAATGCTCTGCACTGATGTTTGAGTTTTGGTTGTATATGATCTATTGATAGATTTCGCTCTTTTAGTGTGTAATGCAAAAGAAATGTAACAAAACTATCACTGTATTCCGTTCGAAAGTTTTAGATTTTAGTAAGATTTTAAAGAAGTCTCTTTATGTTGTGACAGCCTGCATACTTGTTTGTGTTATGTCTGTGTTTCAGTGGGGCGGGGCTTCAATCCTGAGCGCGGATGGAGGACACCTGCGGTGGGAGTTTCTCTTCCTGATAAAAGCTTCCGGCTCCCTGCCTTCAGGAGGAACGAGCGAGGGGTTCTCCCTCCTGCGTGCTTTTCCCTTTACATGTTTTGTGTTGTTGCCGGCATTTTGTGTTTAATTGTGTTTTTTGTTTGGTAAATAAATTGGTCATCTCTTGATTGAGGTTTTGCGTCCCGCTTCTTTGTCACAACCTCTGAGCCGGGCTGTTTCCCCTCCCGAGAATGGATGACTGCATCGATCAGGTGGGTGCTGCGAAATTTGTCAGTAAGTTTGATCTCCTTAAAGGCTACTGGCAGGTGCCCTTGTCTAGACGTGCTCGTGAGATTGCTGCGTTTATTACCCCAAAGGGCTTATATTCGTATAAGGTAATGCCGTTTGGGCTTCGTAATTCACCTGCGACCTTTCAGCGTCTCATGAATCACGTTGTAGGTGACATGCAGGGTTGCGCTGTATATCTTGACGATGTAGTCATTTATTCAAACACCTGGAATAGTCACTTGGAACGTATGCGGGAATTGTTTACTCGTTTGGCGGAGGCAAAGCTCACGGTCAATCTCGCAAAGTGTGAGTTTGCGAGGGCGACCGTGACTTATCTTGGCCGAGTAGTTGGGCAGGGGCAGGTGCGTCCGGTGAATGCAAAAATTCAGGCGGTGGAGCAGTTTCCAATTCCAACAACTAAAAAAGAGCTGATGCGTTTTCTGGGGCTGGTAGGTTATTACAGAGCATTCTGTGGAAACTTTTCTAGCGTTGTAGCACCTCTCACTGATTTGTTGAGGGATAAAGTCAACTTTTTCTGGTCCTCTATTTGTCAAAGTGCCTTCCAACATGTCAAAACGCTCTTATGTACCGCTCCAGTGTTAGCGGCGCCACGTTTGGACAGATCGTTTAAATTGTATGTGGATGCAAGCCAGGTAGGGGCTGGGGCTGTCCTCATGCAAGAGGATGACTGTGGTATTGAGAGGCCGGTTAGTTTCTTTTCAAAGAAATTTAATCGTTACCAGGGGAATTATTCTGTGATCGAAAAGGAGACGCTTGCTCTGATTTTGGCTCTAAAACATTTTGATGTTTATGTTGCTGGTAGTGCTCCTGTGGTGGTCTTTACCGATCATAATCCGTTGACTTTCTTAAATTCTTTACAGTGTCCGAACCAAAGATTGATTCGATGGTCATTGTTTTTGCAGTCCTATTGTTTGGACGTTCGCTATGTGAAGGGAGTGGACAATATAATTGCGGACGCGCTGTCTAGGGCGCCGCTAGGGTAATTGTTTGGTACTTATAGTCGTTTGCCTCTTCTGGATTCTTTAAATTGCCTTTTAGGTATATCGACTGCTGAACCAGAAGTGGGACTGAAAGATGCGGATGATTGGAATAGTAATGGCTAGTTAAGTATTCATTTATTTATCCTTGAATGTTGGTAGGGGGTGGGATAATTGTTTTGAGTTTAAGTGGGAGTAATATTTATTGTTGTCGGGTTTCCTTCTGGGGTTCCCCTTTTTATGGGGGGGAGTGTGATGGCCTGCATACTTGTTTGTGTTATGTCTGTGTTTCAGTGGGGCGGGGCTTCAATCCTGAGCGCGGATGGAGGACACCTGCGGTGGGAGTTTCTCTTCCTGATAAAAGCTTCCGGCTCCCTGCCTTCAGGAGGAACGAGCGAGGGGTTCTCCCTCCTGCGTGCTTTTCCCTTTACATGTTTTGTGTTGTTGCCGGCATTTTGTGTTTAATTGTGTTTTTTGTTTGGTAAATAAATTGGTCATCTCTTGATTGAGGTTTTGCGTCCCGCTTCTTTGTCACAACCTCTGAGCCGGGCTGTGACAATGTTCACCAAGGCTGCATTTATTTGATTTTAAATACAGCAACAAAAAAACAGTAATATTCTGATATATTTTTTCAATTTAAAATAACTTTTTTTCTATTTAAATATATTTTAAAATGCAATATATTCCTGTGATACAAAGCTGAATTTTCAGCATCATTACTCCAGTCTTCAGTGTCACATGATCCTTCAGAAATCATTCTGATATTGCTGATAGTGATTTGCTGCTCAAGAAACATTTATTATTATTATCAATGTTGAAAACAGTTTTTTCCCCCAGATTATTTGATGAATATAAAATTTCAAAAGAACAGCACTTACATGAAATAGAAAGCTTTTGTAACATTATAAATGTCTTTACTGTCTGTTTTGATCAATTTTTAATGCATCCTTGCTGAAAAAAAGTAGCCTATTCATTTCTTTCAACAACAAAAACAATCTTACTGACCCCAACTTTTGAACAGTAGTGTACAATGTTAGAAAAGCTTTCTATTAAAAACATTTAAAAATCAGAGCGATCTGAATCTTTGACCGTATCAGGCACAAATGACCCCATTTCCTTTGAATGACGCCCATAAACAGGACCCGGATCCCCAGGGTCTTCTGTAAAACAAACTCAAAAAACAAAAGGGCCGTTTTCCCACATTCTCATGACAACAATGTCGGAACATACAAACCTGAGTACTCCATTCAGAAATTACATTAAAAATGATAAAGTTAGATACTGGAGCCATTTTTCTTTCTTTCTTGGAAGTCACAGCCATTCTTGAAAGCCTATAGACTGTTAATCCAAACATTTTTCTACTTCTAGTGAATAGTTTGAGCTATATTAAAGAAAATAACTTATGCAAATGTCTTGAGCTGAACTCCTTGACCGCATATAGACTCTGTCATGCATGTTATATAACTTTCATAAGACACGCGTTTAAACTGCTTGGGTGCTGTTATGTTATGTTGCTATGTGATGCATGTGTGTTTCTGTATGTTTTCTCATTAAGGCAAGAAACTACATAAAAATCTGTGTCTTTTTTCTGTTCAATTTTGAGATTTTGCTTCCATAACTTGTCTTGCAGGCTAGTGGAAAGATTTTTTAAATTATTTTATTACTCTTTGTCTATTTGCTTCTGTAGAGTTCAATTATAGTAAATATTTTTAAAGGCCGTTTTCTCAAAATTAGCTTTTTGTTCAGTAACACTTATAGTACATACATTAAATTTGACAGTTTTATTGTTATCTTTATTTTTAAGATTTTTACAGAGGGAAACATAATCTGTTGACATGGAGAAAATGTTTTTTTATATATATATTGACAGTATTTTCTGATTTATGGAGTGATAAAAAGAGATATCAAAAATCCCCATGGTAAAAAAAAACTTTAATATGTTAACAAAATGAAATAAGAATTTCAAAAATGGTTTTATCCAATGTTCAGATTTGAGTTCTTGCCTCATTTGCATATTTCAACAAGAGTTCAGAAAGCTTGCAATACAAAACAATTGTCTTAATGTACTGTCATCTGGGGAAAGTGGTGATATCTAGTTAATAGTTTTCACCTTATTCATCTGTAGTGTCTTACCTTAAATTTACTGTGGATGTGAACAATACATTATGCTTTACTATAGATATCCGTGAATTCTATCAAAAGGGGAGGAAATGACAGAGACAGGAAAGTTGTGAAGATGCAGTGTCCTGCTTTTTCAGACTTCCGTGTTTAGACTAGCACCTTGATAAGCCAACTGGCACTTTCTATCTCCGTTTATGTGCTTGAAGCCATTATTGATATTGACTTTGAATATCTGATTAATTGATACAGCTACATAATGTAATACAGATATGAACTACGAGATCAAATTAGAATATGGTTTGAATAACGTAATGAGGCTTTGGTTTAAAAACATCTTAGAGTTTAACATCAAATCAACTCAAATCTGGCTGAATGAATGTCAGGAAAGAATTCCAAAAGGTCTCTCTTATCAGGAACAAACTGACTGAATAAAGTTCCATCATAAAATAACAGAATTATACTTTTTTTAGCTCTCAAACAATAAAGTTCTTTCAGCGGCGACATTCTCCTTTTTAAAAAGTTTCCTGTGACAACAGTAGCCAAAACAACAGGAACTGCTCTGCTCCGTGAATATGTCTGCATTTTAGCCCCCAGCATGGTCAAAAACAATCTCTCACACACACTCATGTCTGAGGACCCACACACACCCCTCCTTGATTCATCATGTCAGATTGTCGCATAGTTTGTCATTCAGAGCAGGGTGCTTTTGCAGATAAACATACTAATTAAGATAAGCAGGGGTATTTACAGAGGAAATTGGTCTGGGAGGGGGTTGTTTGGTCATTAAGATAAGACAGACATTTTGAAATATTATATATTCCATCAGATCAAGACACCACAGTAGTTTGGAGCCATACATAGCCTACTTGAGTTACTTAGAATCAAATGGACAAAAAGAAGAAAAGAAACAAAAAACTAAGAAACAACAAACTAAGTCATGGGACAGACAAGTGAAGCTACTTTTTTGTGGAATGTGCCCTAATTCTTTTAAAAATGAGATGAAGAGTTTTTGTCCTATTCATTGAAACAGGGTCGTTCTACCTTCACTGACGAGCACATAACACACACACACACACACACGCACACACATATGCAGCCATCTGTGTAATTGAACGGTCGCACATTATTTACTTTCTTTCCAAGGAATTTCAGCTTGAGCGTTGTGTTTTATGTTGTTGTCGGCGTTTATGAATAAGTAATGCATTTAAACAGCGAAATAGGAGCAACGGAAATAGTCTTTTGTTCAAGAGACAAGAGCGAGCCCGATACATACAGGCAAGCAGAGTGGCGCAGCGGAAGCGTGCTGGGCCCATAACCCAGAGGTCGATGGATCGAAACCATCCTCTGCTAAGAATTTTTCGCTTTTACAATTTAGGATATTATGCTGATTATCTCATATTATAATGCATTTATTTTCGTTGTAATTACTGTTGTTATTTTAAATGCATGTCAGGGGTATTATAATTTAAACTAAAACCAAAACACTTTCGATACTTCTTTTATTTCTCCTGGTTGTCAAAACAACATTCCTCATTTTTATTTTGTAAAGTAACTAAAACTATATAGACATATTTAAACAATGACAAAAACATAAAACAAAATTAGCCCACTAAAACGTAATAAAATGAAAAAGGAAAATACAAAATATTTAAAAATATTTACAAACAGTGATACTGTATTCGCTATTTCATTAGTAACATTAATGTTATGTGGTCAGAAACATTTATTGGTATTTATTTTTTAGGATTGTGAAAACGTTTTCAATTTCAATCAACTTCACATGCCACATGTATGGATTAAAAAAAAGAAGCAAATAAGCAAAAATCGTCACCATACCAGTTTGTTGACGATCGTGGATTCAGGATATCTTCTTTTGCCGTAAGTAGAGACAAACTGTATGTATCCAGATTTACTTCCCTCATTGATTTCATGATGATGCTAGTTTTTTAATAATTATTTCCAATCCTTAGATGCAGAACAAAAGTGACTACAATAACCTTTGCTCATACAGCAGATCTCGTTATGGCAGCAGCTAGGCTATATGTCCTCCTGAAAGATTAAAATAGCCAGCATTTATCAATTGTGTGCAAACTCTTAGGAAGCTTAGAAAAAACAACATAAGCCACTCCTGCTCAGAATAGCGGTTTGCATTGTTTCAAAGGTTAACGACAGACAAATCCCACCCATTCAATTTAAATTAATAAAACAATACTGACTTAATGCTTTATTTTGCATGAACAATAAATAACAGGTTTTAAACTAATGTTTATATAAGCATTTTACGATCATTTAATCAATCTATGCGAGTAATGTATGAGCAAGGGAGGTATGGCACATATTCAGAAATGTTAATTTATTCTTAAAAGTTATTGTATCCTTGCTGTATTTTGTCAGTGCAAACACAAACAAAGTCTTAAATAAATAACTAAAAAACAGAATTTATAAAAAAGTAACAGCCAACTCTCAGCCAATAGCAGCGCTCCTCGTGTGTGACGTCAATTGCATGCGCCGCAGATCCACACACGACACCGGCTTCGTGTAATTTTTCTGTCGAGTGTAAATATGTCAACTGTCCAATAAATTGATGAATAAGCTCGTTTATCGTTTGTATTAATATCTCGTTTTTATTATATTTAGTGTGTTATTAGGTTAGCGTTGTTATAGTTTTACTTAACGACCCACGTGGGCACATTGATGACATTTCGTGTGTGCTGTAGTTAATGACAGTAGTCTTCAAAGGATAGCCTTTTTACAGTTTGTGTAAGATCTCCCTCAAGTCCGAGTCAGGATGAAGTGTCACTATGAGGTGCTGGGCGTTAAAAAAGACGCTTCGGACGACGAACTGAAAAAGGCTTACAGGAAATTAGCATTGAAATGGCACCCAGGTATTTGATTTCATTTTATTTATTCCATAATTGTCCCATTTTATTATGAGGCTGTTGGTGTGCCTCAGCGATGATCTGTCAAGTCAAGTGCTGTTAATTAACGTTATAGGACTTACGTCAGTTTAATAATGAAATGATGTAATAATGTATCATATCTTTTATTCTGATTCTAGACAAGAACTTGGATAATGCAGATGAGGCTGCAGAGCAGTTCAAACTGATCCAGGCTGCATATGATGTTCTGAGTGATCCACAGGAGAGAGCCTGGTAAGACCTACAACAAACCCTGGAAATAAACCACTGTGGCCTGGTTTCACAGACAGGGTTTAGATTAAGCCAGGATTAGGCCTTAATTCAACTATGACATTCAAGTAGCTTTTATAAATGTGCCTTAGGAAAAAACATTACTGGTGTGAATCTTGAGACAAAACAGTGGCACTGACATTATAAGGTATGTCACTGCAAGTTGCTTTCAGTTGAAACAGCTCAAACATGCATTTTAGTGTGGGTTTCGTCTGGTCACTAGTTCCGGTTGACTTCTCTGGACTCTGATTTAATGGTTAAATTATATGTTAGTAATCAAAAAGCATGTATAATCAATTGAAATCATGAAACCTATATAGTTAAAAATGTTACAAAAATATTTTTTTAGGGCCCTATGAAATACATACATTTTTTCTCAAATTCTGTTTTATTTTTACCAAATTCTGTCTTTTCCTCTTTAATTTTCAGGATTCCAACAATCAAAAAGCATTATATGCCGTCATAAAACTTTTACAGCTTAATAGTTTACATTTTTTTTCTCACAATAATAGGGCCCTATGAATGTTTATTTTTATTGTTATAGAAATTTTTGATTTAAAACAAATAAATTAGCAAAAACTGTGGTAATCAAATGAAGGCATGAAACATGAACAATTTGTTTATTCTTTTAAAATGTAAGCAAATGAAAATGAAATAATTCCTTTTATTTTTTTGACAAACAAAACGCTGCACAACAGGGGTTAAACTCCCTTGTGTGAAAAAAAAAATCAGAATTACGAGATACAAATTCATAGGCTCCAGAGTTATGATCCAAAATGCAAATTGCCTTATTATAGTGTCACATAGTGTCAGGGACTGAGAATTTGCAAGGCATGTTTGTGAAAACTAAAAACAAGTAAATGAATAAATCCAGCTGTTGGAATCCATTCCCACCCCCATGGTGAGAGTTGTTGATTCTAATGGGGATCTTAACCAGTATCAGTTTGGTAAATATTAGAACTTCCTTGTACAAGAAACATGGTGTGCACAGAATCAGATGGTGAGAAAATGTCCAGTTTTCCGTGAGTAATGCATTCCAGTGTGTGTTTAGCTTCAAAGCCACAAACTCTCTCATATTCAGTTATTTACTTTGAGCAGCGCGACCTTCACCACTGTTCCGTGTGAAATACTTTTATACTTGGTTTTCTTCCGTTTTTTTCTCTCTCAAACTTGAACCGGAACATTTATCTTGGTTTCATCTTTGTTAGTCTTAATATCAGTGTGTGTGTGTTTGTTCACTACTCACTGATCTGTTTGTGTGTGCACAAACTTGGATAAACGCAGAGGACAAATTCCGAGTTTGGGTGACCATACTTGGCCTTCGCCGTCACATCATAAGGATTTCATACAATTGAGCTTCTCTTAAACTGATCCTGAGTAATTAAGTTTTCACATGACGTCACACCCTTATAGGAACGTCCACCTTGATGGAAAAACAAGGCTTTCCTCCGCTGCCCGCCAGTCATTTTGATCAGGTTTTTAGTAAGTACTAATGTAGTAAGACAGTAATATTGAAAGACCAAATTCAATATACACCTGACCTTATTGATGATGCATACTTTGTACAGGCAAGCAGATCAACACAGACTATAAATGCAACACAAGATTTCTTGTTAAGCGTTTTTTTTTTTTTTTTTATCGAAAACCATTATAAAGAAAACACATTGCGTTCATATTCTGGGCTCATTTGCTCGCCTGTATAGAGTATGCATCATCAAAAAGGTGTAAACTGAATTTGATCGTTTAATATCACTATTTTAGTGTAAAGTAAGGCGCTTTAGGATTAAGCATCTCCTTAGCCTGGGGTCGGTTCACCATCCGCCTATGCTGCTTGATCAGCCTTTAATTCTAATGGTCTTTCTACGTACGTAGCAGTTTTTAAAGACAGTTGACATTTTACACGTTTATTTCCCTTTATCGGTAAGAGCTAGCCTACTATTTTCGGAGAGAGAGAGAGAGTTTCTGCTGCTCAATAAAAAAGGAAATGGAATATTAACATTGTTGCTGTTCAATTGGCGAGTCCATTTTGACAGAGAAAATGAATCGCAGATGGAGGTTTTAATCCCAGGTCAGAATGTAATCCCTGATTTGTTAATTAAGAGGTGGTGCAACAAAACTTGATTTAAAATAAAACCCAGATCAATAAATCCTTGATTAGCATTAAACTTAGCTTAATTCAATCCTTATCGGTGCAACCCACAAGTGCTAAAGTGTTAAGCATTTTAGAATGTTCTGCTGTTTTTATTGGTTGAAAAAGTGCAGCAGGTGCTGTATATGGATCACAAGTACATAAAACTTGCATCTTGTTCACATATTTTTGTTTTTGAGACGGAAAATTGACAGATTTGTGCTGCAGTTCTGTGGCTGTTTTGCCCCCCAGGGCTCCACAACAAACACGTGACTAAAAACGATAAATTCTCACATGGTCTTTTTAAAAGACCAAAGCGTTCTTCAAGCTGCAGCTCTTTCATTTTGAGTATGTCATTTTCGGCTTGTGGGGGTGCTAGTTAAAGGGTTAGAGGAATAGTTCACACCCCAACGTTAACATTTTGTCATTCTTAAATTCTCATCCTCATGTTGTTCCAAACCACTATGTTTTTTCCATTGAACACAAAAAGGTTTAAATGGCTATTTTCCATATGGTGGTATGGATGAACCACTTTTGTGGAGCTTTTTGACAGAAGTGGCTGCTGCTGTTGTATACAAAATTCTCCTTTGTGTTCTATGGAAAAAATAACAGCATATGGGCTTGGAATGACAGAGAGAAGTATTTAATGTTATTGTTATCTACATGGTCTAGCTGCCTAACAGAAATGAGGATTTCATTTGCACGAGTATTGGATGCATCTGGAGTGGGTTGAAAATTGCAAATAAATCAGGAATATAATATGAATAACAAATATATTAAATATACATTTTTAAAAAAATTATTCTTGCAGCGTATGCCATTGCTGAATTTATAGCCATTATTTCTTTATAAATTCCAGATTTTATTGCAAAAGTATTGCAAATATATGGCAATAGTAATTCGTTACATACTATAGTTATTGTTATAACTTATATCAATAAAAATTACTGTTGTTTTCTGACACGTTATCTCTATAATATGTGGTAGAGTACCAGTAATACTAATCCTGTTTTTGGCCGTTAATATACTAAAATGGCTGGTTCAAATGAACAGTCTTCATTATACATCCATTAATATTTAAATATTAATATTGCTGTTACTTTTGTTTTAAGGTATGATAACCACCGAGAGGCGCTGCTGAAAGGGGGAGTCAGCGGAGAGTACCAGGACGACAGCATTGATCTCGTGCAGTTCTTCACTGTCACCTGTTACTCGGGTTACGGAGATGACGAACAGGTGAATAATAAAATAAAATGTATTTTTAGTTGGTCAATAGCCTCATGCCTAGATGTCCGTTCATCCTTTTTTCATTGAAAATGTCGCATTGTCCATTTATCTATTTTTAATGTATAGTTAATATGTATGGAAGCTTGTTTCCGCCACAGAATGAAAAAGTAAAAAAAGGTAATTGTGACTTTTTATCTCACAATTCTGACCTTTTTCTTGCGATTGCGAACTCTATATCTTTCACATCAGACTTTATAACGTGCAATTGCAAGTTTACATCTCAATTCTGACGTTTTTTCTCGCAATTGCGAGTGTATATTTTGCAATTCTGACTTTTTCAGACTTGTGAACTATAAACTGGCAATGCGAGTTAAAATGTCTGAATTGGAAAAATAGGAAAAATGTCAGATTTTTTTTATTCTGTGGGGGAAACAAGCTTCCATGCATATGTCTGCCATTGATATTAAAGAAAAAAAACCTAAACCAGTTAATTTACTGCTTAACATTTGCAATTTGTAAAGTGGACACCATCATGTACCACTGGAGGGCAGTAGAAGTTCATGTTGAAAATGCACTGTAATCCAAATCTTGCTTTCAGTTTGGAGTGATTCAGATTATTAATTGTAGAAATTGATGTTATGTGTTTTTAATTTTGTCTCTGTAGGGCTTTTACACTGTATACAGGAACCTGTTTGAGTCTATTGTAAAGGAGGAGATGGAGCACAGTAAAGATGAGGAAGACGAGGAGGATGAGTTTCCCTCATTTGGAGACTCTCAGAGTGACTATGACACTGTATGTAGACACTAGCACACATTATTACAGCTTTTACTGTTATGTCCTGACAAATTTTGGGTGGGAGGCATGAGATAATTATGGTTTGAGCAGCAAGTTGCTGGTCAGAGAGAGATATGGTAAAAAGGACAGCTGTTTATTCACCCCATGATTCATTACAGAATGTGTAGAAACTTCTGCAGTCCTTTAACAGAGGGTTTGCTTTTATCAAAATGTCCTTACAGCAATGAGCTGTTTATTGTTTCAGATGAGTGTTTCTTTGTGTCTTTGAAAAAAAAAATATATATACTTGAACTACTAAAAAGTCACCACCAGTGTGACTTATACTACTGTTGAAAAGTTTGGGGTCAAGTGAAGACATTTAATAAAGTTACAAAAAGATTTCTATTGGATTTCTAACTTTCTGCTCATCAAAGAATCCTGAAAAAAAGCAGAAAAAACTATTTAAACATTTATAATAATAAAAAAATGTTTCTTGAGCAGCAAATCAGCATATCAGAATGATTTCTGAAGGATCATGTGACACTGAAGGCTGGAGTAATGATGCTGAAAATACAGGAATAAATTAAACTTTGAAATATATTAAAATGGAAAACATTTATTTTGTATTGAAATAATATTTCACAATGTTACTGTTTTTACTGTATTTTTGATTTAATAAATACAGCCTTGGTGAACAGAAGAGACTTTTAAAAAATATTTTAAAAAATCTGACCAACCCCAAACTTTTAAATGGCACTGTACATGATTCTGACTCTTTTTAGTGAATCAGTCAAAAATAATTCTGTTATCAGTTTGAATCAGTCTAAAGACAAACTTCTTCAAGTACTCATAAAATTGTTAATGGAATCTTTAAAGAATTGGAATCAGGAGAACCAGAATCGTTAGAAAACGGAACAAATCTTGAGACAGAATAGAGAGACATTTCTTTTTGATGAATTGTTTAGAAAAGATGATTTTGAGATGGTTTGTTCGAGAGATATGTATAGATTGTACCATGAAAACACTTGATTGCCCAAACATGGCATCAGAGAGAGTTCTTCAGGGGGTCTAGTGCATTTTAGACCTTTCAGCCAAATGAGACTGTGGATTATTAACTTAGATAAATGGAACACGAAAGCATTCCCATCTAAATACTTAGTCCAAATAAGCTAGTACAGGTAACAGTAGGACGGCAGTATTTCGTATCTGAAAATACATTTCAGATTGTTTGATAAAAGAGGGGGAAAATCTTGACTGAAGACTTCACATTTGGTTCAAGCTATCCAGCATCTCTTTTAGCCGTCGAGAATATTTTCTCCAGAGTCTGAACAATGAAGTTCACCCACTCCAGTTAGACCTGAAGGCTCTTAAGTGATCTAAACCATTTCCCTTTCCGGTGTGGCCCGTACCTGCACTTTACCTAATGGAGGTTTGGGAGTCATTTGCCATTAGTGGAGGCCTGCAAGAAGCAGATGAAATGAGGATGACTGTACAAGCCTCTTCATATTTTTGTTAAAAGGATAAAGCATCCAGGAAGTTTATCAAGAAAATCTAGTTATATAGTATAATAGGTTCTCTTCACATTTGGCTCTGTTTTTTCTCTCAATTCCGTCTCCCTGGTGCTCTCAGGTGGTGCATTTATTCTACGGCTACTGGCAGAGCTTCTGTACGCGCAAAAACTTTGCGTGGAAGGAGGAATACGACACGCGACAGGCCTCCAACCGTTGGGAGAAGAGAGCCATGGAGAAAGAGAACAAGAAAACCAGGGACAAGGCCAGGAAAGAGCACAGCGAGCTGGTGCGGTCGCTGGTGGCCTTTGTCCGAAAACGTGACAAGCGCGTTCAGGCCCATAAGAAACTGGTGGAAGAGCAGAATGCGGAGAAGGCCAAGAAAGCTGAAGAACTGAGGAGAAAACAGAAGCTCGACCAGGCCAAGTGAGTGAGATTAGCCCATTTTATGGGACTGGGTGATATGGCGGCATATTTTGTCCATACAACGCTAAAAATGTCTCAACTGGGAGAGATATTTAGCTTTATATAGATAGCTATATAGATATAGTCCCACAGTCATGTAAAACCTTGAAATATCAAAGCTTTTGCATTAAATAAATAAAATAAAAATCAAAGTTCACCAAAGCTGCATTTATTTGATCAGCTATTACTCCAGTCTTCAGTTTCACGCGATCTTTCAGATATATATATATATATATTATGCACACACACACACATTTTCATATATAAAATTTTACCCACTTAATTTTAGCTGATTTAGTTTATAGTTATATTTTATTTAAGTAAATATAACTTTTTTTTAAACATATTTTTGCTTGTACGTCAGGTCTTAAAGTGACTAATAACCCTGCTGGTGTCTGTGTCATTAATGTTAATCAAAGAACAAAAGACTTGAATGACTCTTGACACTTTTATAGCTTTAATAAGGATTAATCTATATATCATTTATGCAGCGAAGATTGTGAAGTGTTTGTTTATTCAGTTTCTGTATATTTACCTGTTAAGAGTGCGCGGTTTATCTATCGATCAGATGTGCGTGAAAGTTGTTCGTTTCTATATTAACAGTCATTTATTCCTGTGATGGCAAAGCTGAATTTTCAGCGTCATTACTCCAGTCTTCAGTGTCACATGATCTTTCAGAATCATTCTAATATGCTGATATATGTGCCATTAGGCTGGCGGAAGACTATAAGGAACAGAGTTGGGCCGCCATGTCAGAGCTGGAGAAAGAACTGCAGCAGATGGAAGCCGAGTACGGTCTAGAGTTTGGTGACGTATCGGAGAGTGAAGAGGACGAGGAGGAGGTGGAAGACGGGCAGGAGAGGGCAAACATAGACGGGGGAGGTGAGTTCTGATGACGTACACGTATACTTGAGTGGATTCTGGGTACAGGTTCAGGGACCAGTCAAAGATTCAATGCACATTATGATTTTGAGACTGAACAAAGTTTTGAAGGATTAAAAACTGTCCTACGTCATGACATGTTTTTTTTTTTTTTATATATCTATGCAGTCACTTTTCAAGTGTGACATCAGTGTCCAAATAGTTGTAGAGGTCACTATATAAATAGACAGGACAAGTCAGAGCAGTCAACTGTGATTCATACATAATGCTATGATACACAAGTCATGAAAAATACCTTAATCATACTGTAAAACATTGGTGAGTAATGGACGGAACGTATCTAACAGCTGCTTGACCTTTGTCAGATGCGGTGCAGGCAGATGGTGCCGCGGAAATGGACGACTATTATGATGACCTGTATTGCCCTGCCTGTGACAAATCTTTCAAATCCGATAAAGCGTGAGTGAACGGAGCAGAGAGAACACGTGCACTGCTGTCGCACACCCTTCATCACCTCACTGATCAAAATGTGGATTTCAGTTTTTAGATCTCACATTTTTCAGTCGGCCACTTCACAAATTAATAAACATTATGTCATTTTTTAGTTCAGTTCTGTAGTTGTATTACATTTATAAAGTATAAAAATTGACACTACCATTCTACAGTTGGTTTTTTAACCTCTTCTGCTGACCATGGCTGCATTTATTAGATCACAATTGCAGTAGAAACAGCAATATTGTGAAATATTATTAGAATTTAAAATAACTGTTTTCTATTTTAATGTATTTTAAAGTGTAATTTATTCCTGTGATGCAAAGCTGAATTTTCAGCATCATTACTCCAGTCTTCAGTGTCACATGATCCTTCAGAAATCATTCTAATATGCTGATTTGGTGCTCAGGTAATATTTCTTATTATTACCAATGTTGAAAACAGTTGTGCTGTTTAATATATTTTTTTGAAAACCATGATAATTTCTTTCAGTTTTCTTTGATAAATAGAAAGTTCAACTGAACAGCATTTCAATGGAAATGCTTTAAATAGAAATATTTTGTAGCATTCATACTGTAACCTGTGATTAATTTAATAAATAAAAAAATGTAATCCAAACGTTTGAATGGTAGTGTAAATGGACACAACACTAACATTAGTGTAGATATTTAATGATTTAGAATTTTTTTCTTAGGTGTTGTTTTTTTACTTTAGCCTACATGTTTTATTAATTCATTTAATAATCACAAACAAACAGCATGTTTTGAACTAATTTGCATTACATGCATATCATTTAGCAGTATAATGTGTTTCTCTCACATCAGCATGAAAAACCATGAGAAGTCCAAAAAACACAGAGAGATGGTGGCATTGCTACGGCAACAGCTGGAGAAGGAAGACAAGTCGCTGAGTCAGAACTCTGTGGAGAGAGAGGAGGAAGACGACGATGATGATGATGATAGTGATGAACTTGGTGGCACACCGAGACAAAAGTAAACCATAGCACTAGAGATGTGCTCTTCGAATATAATTTATTTGTTTCGCTATTATAGTATTTCACAATATATGCCTGATTTATAAGCGTCTACTGTGAGCATTAATCAAATGCTAATGTAAAAAGATTATTAATTATATTAATGTTAAAATCAGTAGGATTGATCATGCACTACTGACATTATAATGTCAATGCTGAATTGAAAATTCAAACATTTTATTTATTAGTTATTTAATATTCTTTTTCATATTGTCTGAAATTGTAATAAATAAAGGAGTTTGTAGAACATCTGTAAGTTTGTGTACTTAAACGAGGCATCTGGTGGCATTGTTGGCTGTTCCTGTCCACTGATTGGTTCATTTGATTACAGATTATCTAAAAGGCAGAAGAAAAAGAAACGGCAGCAGAAAACCGCAAATGTAAGTCACTGAAATCTAACCTCAGAAGTATTTGAATTGGCTAGACTTGATCCAGTAAAATGTCATTTTTCTAATACGGTTGATCTGTAGAATCTCCCAGAAGAGCCCGAGAGTCCAGTCCAACGGGGCACAGAAGAGCGTCCCCCACCTGCACCTGATTCGGGCAACAGCGAGGAAGCCCCTGTCCCCTCTGAGGACCCAGATGAGAATTTAAAACCAGAGGGATGTGAACCCACAGACCAAAAAAGGTGCCTCTCATATGCCTGTTTAACAATCCACCGGTTTAAAATGTTAAGTTGTTATAAAGTTCTCTGTATATTGATATGAACTGAGTTTAACTCTTAATGTCACTTTATACAGCTCTGAAAAGTCAAAAGGGAAGAAAGGTGGAAAAGACTCTAAAAAGAATGGCAAACCACATGGCGGTGTAGAAGTCGCTCAAGAGGTGTGTACAGTACTTACGTTAGAGTGTGTGTGTGTACATGTGAGCAAGGAGCCACTCCTCTATGGCCTTACAGCTGTTTTATAATCATCATCCAGTCATATACAACTTCATATGACTTATTATAACATGGTTTTCTATAATCATCTATAATTGACTAAAATGTATGCATACGCCAGCTTTGTTTATTCTCATTCTGATTGGTGAAATAATAAAGTAGTTCTACACACTATATGTTAAACTAGTATAAATGAAATAATAATTCTTCCCATGCTTGTAATGAGAAGTGCTTATCAATCAAAAGAAAAGCTTTAAAGGCTCCCTGCAGTTTTTCATCAAAATCAAATTTGATGGTCTGAGGAAATTAAGACCCATAAAAATTAGTATTATAAATTTACATTTGTAATGTAAAATAATAGTATATATTTTTTTTTACAGGGAAATATTATAGTAATATTTCTTTATTTGTTTTAGTCATTTTCATATTTTTATTTAGTAATATATATCAATATGGCTATAAAATACTACTACTACTAATAATAATTATATATATATATATATATATATTTTCTTTCTCTCTTTTTTTGCCATATTGATATACAGTCACAAAATATTGGCTAAAGTGTGCAGCCCTACAAACAAGCACAGCAGATTTGTTTTAATTACATTTTAATCCGTAATCACAATTTTTTATCAGAAAAATCGATTTATTATCCCCCCCCCCCCCCCCCAGAAATGTCTGTCTACAATTGGTGGCAGTAAAGCTTAATGTATCTTTTTCTCAATGTTTTTTTCTGCTCCTTATAGAAGGAAGCCATCCTGCGCTGTGTGACCTGTCAGTATGAATTTGCCACCAGGAACAAACTTTTCGATCACCTGAAGACCACAGGCCACGCCACTGCCCTCTACTCTAGTAACGCTGCACAAACGTGCAAGAAAAAGAAGGACACCAGGAAGAACAGATAACCGAGAGGCAGACAAAGACTGAAGCCCCTCTGACTGTCCACTTGTCCAGGAAAACCTCGTTTGATGGTATGCAGTTGTGCAACCATCAGGGAGTGCGTTTATGGGCCTGCGCGTCTTTGTCCCTATGAGAATGAATTTGTGCCCTGTGGGCTGACATTTCTTTTGTAATGCACCATATGCCAAAAGATTTCCCTAGAACTGCCACTAATTCCTACCATAATTGATGCATAATCTGGTGCGTCAGAGCGGTTCTGTAGGACAATGAGACTTCTATTGAGTAGACCGTGCATATGCCGTTTTTTTTTAGGAAGTTAAGAGTAATTATGATAGCACGTTTTGTCACATTTAGTGGCATTTTCAAAGTGACAATTCCAAAGTGGTAAAGTGTAAAAGGCAACGTGAGGAATAAAACTCCACTGGATGTTTTGAACATGGATGTTTTTGACATTTTCATTTTATTGGAAATGTTTCGGATGGTGGAACTTTTGTTTGGAGAAATAAGCTATGAACCGCAAAATCTCTCAACAATGTTATTATTAGTAATAAGACCATTGGGTTTAAGATCATAAAGAGGTAAAAGCTAAACATTCAAATATGTTTAATGTACCACGTGTGTAACAGGTCTGCTGCAATATATACAGGCTTGGTGTTATGCAAAACAATACCAGTGGATTTCCAGGAAAGGATCTCAAAAAGAACTAGAAAAAAAACAACGCCGCATGATTATTTAATAAACAGTTGCTGTCTTTGCAGGACAAAAATATCCTTCTCTTCATATAACGTTTTAAGAGACAACAGATTTATTTATGACCTTGCTTGCCTTGATGGTATAAGCTATGAATGTCACTTGAACTGGGTCAGGTTTGAATTTAATCTCCTCAAAAATCTCCTAACATGTTTTATGTATTTATAACAGTGTCGTTTTAGACACAACCCTGCAGTTGATGTATATGTAAAAAGCTACAGGCATTTGTAGAAATCTCTTAATCTTTAAGTCTACAAATGTGCATAGTCTTTATTTAGCATTGCAAGAAATCATCATTTGTTAGATACGTTTCACTTTTTTCAGCCCTGAAAACAATTCCCTTATTAAAAAGGTAGTTTGTACCAGATTATGAGTTTGTTTGAAACTTGGTAAGATGCATCTGTACCTGTAAAACAACACAATCCTGTTATACCGGGTATATCATGGTGTATTGTTAGAAGATAATGTTGAGATGACAATAGTGTCAAATATATAATGAAATAATTTTAATGTACCAAATAATTGTTAAATTACTTTATTACATGTTTTTCTCCATGTCTCCGAAAAGATTTGAGAGTAGAACTGGTCCCAGTTTTTTAAACTTCTTAAAAGATCTGGTGTTAGATGGTCGGTCAAGTGCTTATAAGTAGCTATTGAAAGTGCTAAGTTTCTGAAGTATAGTGTACTCGAATCAGTTACTGATAACAACTGTTCTTGACGCACACATTAAGGAAGGTGTGAAGAATGTGTTAGTTGCCTTTAGTGGTCTTTAGATTAACTGCCCAGACCTGTTCTGTAATGTGAAATTGTCCAGATAAAATGTGAGCCAATGTGTCTTCTTCATGTTCTGCATGTCTTATCTTCTCTCCATGTAGTTGAGCACTGCCTGGTTGAATACAGCGAGGAAGAAGTCTGCGTCGTCTTTAGTTATGCACATAGGAGGCTTGATCCTGAAAGTCTGGAAAAGAACAGGTGAGAGGAGGGGGGTTTGAGAAAAAGTAGCAAGCTTTGAATATATAAAATAAAGCATGCTACACAAATGTTGTCAGATTTAGCCACAAAGGTGCATAATGTTCCCAAATTGACCTAAACAAGCATCTAGTGAAATTCTGAAATGTCTCACTTTTATATACACAACCATTCAAAAGTTTGGGGTCAGTTTTTTTTTTTTTTTTTTTTTTTTTTTTTTTAGAAATTAATATTTTTATTCAGCAAGAATTCATAAAATGAATTAAAAGTGACAGTAAAGACATTTATAATGTTACAAAAGATTTCAAATAAATGCTGTTCTTTTGAACTTTCTTCTCATTAAAGTATCCTGAAAAAATAAATTCACTGTTTCCACAAAAATATTGTATAAAAATAGCAGCACAATTGTTTTCAACGTTGATATTAATAATTAATGTGGCAAATCAGCATATTAGAATGATTTCTGAAGGATCAGGTGACACTGAAGCTTTGCATCACAGGTATAAATGCTATAATGTTAATAAAAAGTATAATAAACATCTATTATACATTTGCATTATTTATACATTTAATTTGATTAAAATGTGTATATATATATATATATTTAGAGAATGTTCTTTTTGGGGTGAACTGTTCCCTTAAGTGTACATTCATTGCTTACTGTGACTATTTCTATAAGTTCAGACAAGCAGGATTCCTGAGGCATTGAGCGACCATGCCACTACAGGACCGAAGTGAATCCCTGAAATACCTTTTCCATTGCACAACATCCCCAGCGATACACCTCATGCATTCATGTTCCATCTCTGCAGGAATCTCTTTACATATAGACCCCGTCACCTCGCCTACCTGTCCGTACAGTCCCCCTTTTCCAATCAGCACGCCCATGTCTTTAGTGTCCTCGAAGATCTCAGCCATGGCCTCTCGAGGGAGCGGGTCTCTGGTGACCTAGACATGGGTTTGAGAGAAATGTCAAAGTGGGTTTTAAGAGAGCGATTTCAGGTATGCTGCTTGATTAAACATGTTTTCGGTTAGAAAATGTAATGGAATAGTTTTCCCAAAAATTAAATTTCGGTCATTTACTCACCCTTATGTCATTCCAAACTTAAGTGACTTTCTTTTGTAGGTACTTAAAGGAGATGTTTGGAAAAATTAAATAAAGTAATTATAATTAAAGTGATGAAGTACCACCAAGCTCCAATTTTTGCTCTGTTTTTCTCACACACGGACACAGAAAGTGAAATGAACCAATATTATGGTGCTTTTTGGAGCTTGGCTAAAGTCACCTTTCACTTTCATTAAATGGAAAACAGCAGCTTTGATTTTCAGCAAAATATCTCCTTTCATGTTTAATGAAAGAAAGTCAAATAGGTTTTAAAAAACAAGAAAGCGAGTAAATGTTATTTTTTAAGTACTTCTTCCACTCTGTGAATTTCCATTTTAATAGCACGTAAATCTGCTGAAATGTCACTGAAGCGTACTTTGTGTGTCTGTATTATCTTTCTTGACACATCCTCAAACAGTTTCCAGTAAATAACCATAGGTAAGAGAGGTTCACTGGGTGTTTTTAACTGCGGAGTGTATTTCTGAGAATGTTCAAACACGCTGTCTCATTGCTATCTGCTCTAGTTAATGACTAACAAGTTTTGTAGCTCATTCCCTGTGAGGAAAATGACATACACTCACAACAAACACTCTGAATCATTAACTATTCCATCTGGAGCTAAAGTAACTCCTACATTCGACTCTTCTCGAACCTCAAGGTCAAGAAACCATGATTGCTCTACAAATAAAGTTTAATGAAGTGGATGCACAATCACAAAGCTTGAGGATTTTCACATTGATTTCTGAAGCGAGCAAAAGCCTGAGGTGTCATTGGGATTAACATTCACAAAACTAGAAGGTTTAAGACATTTAAAGCTGAATCGTGTCGTTTTTTATGCGGATACTATTGCATCTGCATTTGTCTCTTCATTCATTTTATTCTGAGCTCCTTTTAGAAGAAAAGCTGCAGTAGTTTGTGCTTAATGCACTCATACCTGAAAGGTAAAAGTGAGGTTACACTTACAGCATCAGATGAGAGGCAGTTTCCATCATTAAAGCTGTACACTGTGGGACACGTGCACCGCCAGATGTCTTTGTGTATTTAAGGCATGAGTTCAGGTGGAACGAAATGTCTTTACTAAAGATCCTTCAGCTGACAAATATGTACTCCATGCTGTTTTCGCAAGCTGGGGAGTTTGTACTTACGGATACTTGCTGACATTGGGCAGAAATGTTGGCTAGTTTCTATAACAAATAAATGTATAGACTCGCTTCATTCATTCTTTTTAAAATAGGGAAACATATAAAGATATGATATCATATAAAGATAATAATAAATGGTTTGTATTCTTACAAATTACTAATCCCAATCATACACAGCAGGTCATAAGTACACATATTTATTGTAGATAATTTTTTATTGGATGTCGGTGAAGCAGACAGATTGAATCAATGCATCATTCACCTTGTCTTTGACCATCTCCACCCCGATTTGAAGACCTTTTCCCCTCACGTCGCCGATAATCTCGTACTTGTCCCGGAGTTTGGCCAGTTCGGTCAGTAGGTATGTCCCCACATCAGCACTGTTCTCCTGCATCTTGTCTTCTTTTATTGTCTGAAAGCAACACACAGCTTTCAATTTCAAGTATTTATCAGCTTGTATGAATCATATAATATTTCAAATAATGCAGTTCCATCCATCCATCATTATACTATTATTTAGATTTTTGTTCTAGTTTATTTATTATCTCATTTAAAATGACATTTTATGTATTCACTATTGCTGATACCAGATATTGTATGATGTATGTTATTGTAGTAGTTTATCATCAGTGCTGGGCAGATTACTTAATCAGCCGTTACTGATTACAAATTACATGACAAAAAAATTTAGGTTGTAATGTAATCTATTAGCTTTCAACTTTTTAGGTAAATGTATTTCTGACTACTTTTTGATTACATTTAGATTACTTTGACCTAACTCATTTATCACATAGATAAATGTAGGGTTGAATAGAGTTTATACTGCAAAGTTTTAAATAAGTGAAATGATTTCTCTAAATCCAGTGGTAACCTGATTAGTGGCCGGTGTGTGCAATTCTAAAACTGGAAGACTTTCTCAATCTATATTCTCTGAGTGTGCGGTAGGCATTTTTAAGAAAATAAAACAAAATAAAGAATTAGGGAGAAAAGAATCAATAAATTTGTCTGATTGATATGTAATTGTAATCAATAAAAAGATACCTATTCTCATACGAGTATTTTAAAATGAAATGTAATCTAATTACAAGTACTTCATTTTTGGAATCTGATTATGTAATCCAGTCATCCAGATTACATGTATTCAGTTACTATACCTAGCACTGTTTACTCACTCACAACTATGTAGATACCATAATAATTATTTACCATAATACCACGTCTTATTTTATTTTTGTTCTAGTTTATAATTTATCACACTTAAAATGACATTTTATGTAATCACTACTGCTGACACCAAAACTAAATAAATAAAACTAACAGTATAACTGTACACAACTAAAAAGTCAAATGATCTGTACTTACATCTAGCACTGATGAGGCGACTGCACAGGCTAATGGGTTTCCTCCGAATGTGTTGAAATGAACTCCCTTGGCAAATGACCTGGCAATCTCTGGAAAATACGCAAATCACATGATATCAATGCTGAAAACAACAATCAATGCATAATACACTCATGACAAGATGCTTAATGATATTGTTCCTATAGCCTTCCTGATATTGTTCGTTGTTCGTTGCTCAGACTCGTTCTCCCAGTTTAAAACTAGACTAAAGACGCATCTATTTAGCCAGGCATTCATATAAATTTTTTTATCTTACAGTTACTGTAAATTCGGCCTCTACTTCATAAACGCCAGAGGATAACTGGCCCCGACTGAGCCTGGGTTCTCCCAAGGTTTTTTTTTCTCCATTGGGTCATCTGATGGAGTTTTAGGACACCATCGGGTCACTTGATGGAGTTTTTCGGTTCCTTGCCACTGTTGCCTTTGGCTTGCTCAGTTATTCAAATTAAATGACCCATCATACCACTGATAAGCTCTACCAAACTTGGATGTCTTTTTCCAGTAATAAACAAACACTGTTAAGTTGTTTTGATTGATACTGTGAAGCAGCTTTGATACAATCTGTATTGTGAAAAGCGCTAGTTTAAATATAGTTGACTTGACTTTAAGTTTTTTTTTTTTTTTAGATGCGTTCAAACTTTTCAGGCTGTATGTGACTTAACACAATTCTCTCTCTCTCTCTCAGCTTCTCACAGGATGAAGAGCAAACCGCAAGAGCCAGAGGACCAATTAGAGGGAATGAAAAATTAGGAAAGTAAGCAGTGGCACTCCAGCCTGCTTTCAACGTTCAAGTATGTGGGACTAATAAGGAATTTGAACTCATTATTTGATCCACATCTGTGAATGAGGTGAATGTGGCCCTGTGGTACCACATTAGGAGCCCTATCTCAAATAAAACTTTCTTTAAAAAACAAAAAGAATATCCTGCTTTTTACCACAGAGCTTTACAATATGAAATACTCAACCAGAGCTTTTTAAAGTCACAAAGCTTTGAGGTGAACACAACGTTGAGCCTATTAATGCAACATGAGAGAGTTATTTTGTTCGGCTAATATTTTAATTGACTGCCATGCGGGAATTTAATTCGAACTAACTACTGGGTTCATAGTGCTGCTTCCAGTTTCACCGTTCCCTTTTCTGCATACATAGTCTCTCATTAAACTTTGAAGAATAAGACTCAGTGTGTGTGTATCTCCACGTCTAAAGGCAGTTCATTTAGACTATGAACGCAAACTTGCTAAAACAGAATACATTTTAAAAACCCGTTGATAGCTTAAATTAGCAAATCACACAATAAGTTCATCAGATTTTGGCTGATTTAACAGTAGTAGTCACTAGCCTCACCTGCTGTGGTGACTAAAGCCCCCATCGGGAAGCCGTTCGCAATGCCCTTTGCCATGGTAACCATGTCTGGAATGACATTATGTCCTTGGAAACCCCAAAAGTGGCTCCCTGTGCGGCCAAAGCCAGTCTGGACCTAAAAGAACCGAAAATAGCAATACAAAAAAAATTAATAATTTTCACACTGTAATTGTGATTTTTCAAAGTTGTAAGTACGAAAATTAGTGGAGTATGTTTCACAAAAAAAATACTAAAACATTTAATTTTTACTTCAATGTGTCACTTGCCATTTCTTTTTAGTTATTTGTGAAATTTACTAGCAATTTACAGTGAAAATTGTTTCAAAGTAAACCTTACACCAAAAAACTATTGCAGTGCACGGAATCAAGCAAGTATTTACATATTACTAAGCCGTAAAACAAAATAAAACAATTGATCAAATTTTGGAAGTGTTTTTGTGTAAAAAAAAGAAAAAAAGTATTAATTATTCTGCTACCTCAGTTTTTGCGTTGGACATACAGTTCTTCTGTTGAAATGGGATGTTTGGTAATTGCATAGTAATAATATAGTAATATTTTTTTCAGTATGCATGCCTGTAGAGTATGCAAATTATGTGTGAGCATGGAATACCTGGACAACTTTTGTCAAATTGTACGATATACAACAAGTGTTATGATTCCTATTTCGTGTTTCCCTGTTTTGTGTGTTAGGACTCTTATTTTGATATGTTAATTCCTGTTCTCATGGTTTCTGTGTTTTACTTCCTGTGTTAGCCTTGTTTCCTTAGTCCCTGGTTTGTTTCCATAGTTACTCTTATTAATCTCATTAGCTATTAATCACTTTTACCTGTTCCTTGTTCAAGCCGTTGGTTATCTTGTGTATTTAAACACTAGTGTTGTCCTTGTTGTCCAGGAGCTACACATCAAAACAAGAGTCCTAAGACACAGAACTGTGAAAAAGGTATCTTAACTCAAAGCATACCAACTGTAAACAACTATGCACTTGACTTAAACCTTTATTTTAATTTATTTCTGAGATTACAAATGGACAGCACTTGTGCATTATTAGGTTATGTACTGTCTGAAATATTTGTAAATGTATTGGTTGTCATACTATTTTTTTTTTTAAACAAAGTCAGTATCCAGCCAATTTTGCATTTTAATTCAGCAAGAACTGTCCAGTTATTGTCTAAAATGTTATTTTGAAGTTTGTATTAAAATGTCTAAGAAAAAGCACAGGTATTATGTCTACTGCATTAGAGTGTCATAGTATTCACTTCACTAGGGCTGCGTCCAAAATAGTATACTCTTTTGAGTAGGTACTTATTTTGATTAAATAATTCCTTCACGACTGCTAAAAGAGTATTTTCAATATAGTATGTGTAGTATGAATGTAAACCGGACGTACTACATTCGCCATGTTGTCATTATCATGTGAACTACCAGCTACAGTTGCATCGCTTCACGGCCATTCACAAATCCTCTCCCATGGCCTCATGGGATAGTAAAGTGTCCATCTTATGAACACTTCAGAATCTTGCCGGAAGTAGTAAGTAATCTGAGGACTTTTGCCTACTGTTTTATGAGTACTGTGAATTCAGACCTCCTACTTTTGTCACATACTGTTTTTTTGTTGTTGTTGCCTACTATATAGTAGGGGAGTATGCGATTTCAGATGCAGCCTAGGTTTTTTTTTTTTTTTTAAACATGAGAGTGATCATTCTGAGTCATCTCTACTATCTGAAGCACCAACCATGCATGTTTGGCTTCACTCACTGATGTACAGAATAGGATTTACTAGCAAATTCTTCTGACCTCATCCGCTATACAGATTCCTCCTTTCTCCCGAACAAGCTGGTAGGAGTCTTTCAGGTAGTTTTTTGGAAACTGAACAGCCCCACCAACACCCTACAGAAAAATGAAAATCATGATGTAACTTGCCATATGTTAATATTTGAGGGCAATGAGCTTGTTAATGGTATTTTGTTTTTACAACAGTAATAGTAATATAACCGTAATATGTCGCATATTTGTTGATTTTAGTCAGGGCTGGAAAAAAATATGCAATAAATTTAAAAATGCAGACAGAACGTAAAGTATCGACAGACTTCACTTCCATGGATGCTGCTGGCCTGTTTATTTAATTACACTTGGATGAAAATGGAAGCAGTTACTGATCAGAATCATTTTATATAATTATAAACATTAAATGCAATCTCCCATTAACTAGACTGTGCTACAATATACCATATACAGCAAAAGACTGACATCCTGCTTTAGAAAAAATGCGAGTTATTTGCACTTATGGTGTGCTAATTAACTTATTACATCTATTAGCAAAGTGCTGGTTAATGGATGTGGTCTTGTTTGTCAGCTAAAATGCCACTTATCATGTGAACGACGCAAATTACTCAACACTTGCAACTGGACAAGAACTGTTAGTTGAAGTATATTAAACTACAGCAGTTTCAGTGCTGATTTTTTAGGACACGCAGTTTATATTTTCATAGCATTTGTTTGTTTATATAATTACATGTATACAAACACAGATTCAGTGTAATGTATGGTGTAATAAAACCTGGATGGGTTCTGCAAAGAAGGCAGCAATACGATTGGGAACAGTTGTAGCAAGCATCTCTTTGAGCTGACCGATATACATATCATTGGCCTGACAGTGACCTGAGAACAGACAGAATCAGAGATTCACAATCTATGATGCATGAAATTTGTGCTAACAATTGAATAAGAGCTAGATTTGATGAAAATGCGAGTGGTGCTTGTGCAGAACTTGCTGCCACAGTGCTAGGGCCTTGTGAGTGGTTGCCAGGGTGTTGCTAAGATGTTCTGAGTGGTTTTAAGCACATTGCTAGAATTTTCTTATTGATGCTGGCCTCATCAAGCAACACTAATTATAGTGAAGAGTTAACAAGCTCTGCTCATGTGTTGTGTGTGTGTTTTTTTTTATTTTTTTTTATTTTTTAAGGTACTGGTTGGGAAATGTCCTGATGCTTAAAAATGTTTGACCTAATGACACGATCATACCTTGTGCTTTAAACACATCTTATTTAGCTACAGTATTTAACAGGGAATCACTAATTTTGAAGATGTTTTTTTTTTACAGGTTTTACAGGTAGGCAAGGCCTATGGCACCATTCCTATACACTGGTAATTCAAACATCTTTTCAGTAACATAGACATAAAGAAAAAATATGGTAACACTATAGTTGAGGGTTAAAATTAACTATTAACTAGCTGCTTCTTGGCATGGATATTACTAGTAAATTGGCTGTTTATTAATACTTATAAAGCACATATTAATGCCTTATTCTGCATGACCATATTCTACATTCCTTAATCCTACCTAAATTTAACAACTACCTTACTAACTATTGATAAGCAGTAATTAGGAGTTTGAGGCAAACGTCATCGTTAATAGTTCTTTAATAGTGAGAGTTGGACCCTAATCTAAAGTGTGACCATATTTATAGTATATATATTTGTTACGTTTGGGTTAAGGTTAGGCTGTAGATTTATAATATATTATTAGCTTTATATAAAAACAGTAGAAGTCGATGATATGCCCTCATTATGCTAGTGTGTATGTGTGTGTGTGTTTGTAGGCTACCTGGGGAGCAGCTGCATTCTCGGATGGTTTGAACTGGAGAGTCTCTACAGTGGCTTCCTCCCCAGAGGCCGCTGAACACATCGGGACACATGGTCTACAATGAACACAACCCACATGAAACTCACAAAATGTATCAAAGTTTTGCAAGACAGACCTCACAACTCACAACTCAAACGCATACCGGTTTAAGACCTGTTTTTCAAATATGAAAATGCACTAAATTCTCAGCATTTTTGTTTGTTTTCCATTTACTTGAGAATCAGACTTTCTATTTTTTTTCTTGTTAAAATTAAATCATAAACCTCACTAAATGTTATGCTTAAACCAAGAAAAAAAACTATTTGCAACTAAGAAAAATAAACTTAATTCAAGAAAAACTTTATACAAACTGATTTTTAGATATTTTAATTCTTTTTTTTTAAAAGAGCACTGACTAAGAAAATGTTGGGAGTTATTTTTTTTTTCCTTTTTGCAATGGCACTTAAATCATTAAATAAAAGGCTGAAATAAAATATATAAATATTTTGTATGGGTCAGATATTTATGGAAGCTTGTTTCCGCCACGGAAAAAAAATTCAAAAGGAAATATTTTTTTTCGATATCACAATTCTGACTTTTCAAAAAAAAAAAGTTGCATTTACTTTTTGTATTTTTTATTCCGTGGTGGAAACAGGTTTCCATAAATATCAATTTCTCAGAATGCAATTGCGAGTTATAAAGTCTGAATTGTGAGATTTAAACTTGAAATTGCGAGAAAAAATGTTATAATTACATTTCAAGTTTATATTTAGCAATTCTGACTTTATTTCTTAGAATTACAGCTATATTTCTCAGAATTGTGAAATTAGTGCAATTCAGACTTTTTCACTCGTATTTGCGAGAAATAAATGTCCGAATTGTGAGATTAAAAACTTGCAATTGCCTTCTGTATTTGTTTTATTCCAAGGCGGAAACAAGCTTCCACAGATATCATCTTATGTGCTGGGTTGTTATTCAAACCTCATGAGGTCTGACAGTAATTCTGTTACTTTTGCATTAAACACATACACCAAAATAACTTCTGATGTTTCCTCTTATAATTTGGTTTGTGGACTTGATACTGAGGAATATCACATTATAAAGCAGGTAGCTGACAGAAGAAGAGATGTGTGGGTGTGAGATGTACATTATGGCAGCCCAGAGAAGAGGGGATGGGATATTTGTAATCTGCGTTGGACGTCAGACCTGTCGCTTGTGGACTGCCACCATGATAAGAGCCCCTGCGCAGACAAACACAAATGATGCAGTGATTACTATATCTATGGTTGAACAGGGCTACTTGAGCTGACACCAACAGATTGCCCAAGAACTCCCCGTCTTCCATTGGTTCAGATATTGGAAAGATTTATTGGCAAATGAGTTCAATCACCTGAGAGTGATGACGTCAAAATTTCCTGTGTGAAGTCGGGCCATTAGCACTGCAAGGTCATTAGCCTCCGAACCACTGTTGGTAAAATACACAACCTAGAAAAAAAAGACCATCACAATATTACAAAGGGAAATATATGTATTAACTTTTTCCAGCATGCATGCATTTATCATTTAAAAGTTTTGTGTCAGTTGGTAGTTATTCTAATGGTTTTGAAAGAAGTCTCTTCTGTTCACCAAGGCTGCATTTATTTTAATCTAAAATACAGTAAAAACTGTAATACTGTGAAATTATTACAATTTAAAATAACTGTTTTCTATTTTTAAATGTAATTTATTCCTGTGATCACAAAGCTGAATTTTCAGCATCATTACTCCAGTCTTCAGTGTCACATGATCCTTCAGAAATCATTCTAATAATTCTAATATGCTGATTTCTTATTATTATCAATGTTGTAAACAGTTGTGCTGCTTAATATTTTTGTGGAAACCGTTCATTTGAAAAAAAAAAAATGAACAGCATTTATTTAAAATATAAATCATTTGTGACCTTATAAATCTGTTTACTGTTACGTTTGATCAGTTTAATGCATCCTAGCGGAATAAAAGTATTAATTTATTTTTCTTTCTTTTTATTTATTAAAAAAAAAGCCCCTTTCCTATGATATAAAGGCAGCTATTTATTGTCAAGTTTAAAGACCCACTTTATCCACCTTATTTTCTACGTTACAGCTTCTGGTGTCATTCGCTTCCAGTTATTTTTGGCTGTTTAAAACGGCTTATGCGGCTTGATATCGCAAACTGGCATTTCTTACCATATTATTTAAAGGGATAATTTACCCAAATATGAAAATTCTGTCATTAATAATTAATTACTCACCCTCATGTCGTTCCAAGACCTTCATTCATCTTCGGAACACAAATGAAGATATTTTTTATGAAATATGATAGCTTTCTGACCCCCATAGACTGCAACGTTACTACCACTTTCAAGGCCCAGAAAGGTAGTAAAGACATCATTAAAATAGTACATGTGACTACAGTGGTTCAACCTTAATGTTACGAAGTGACGAGAATACTTTTTGTGTGCAAAAAGCAAACAATTTCCTCTCTTCCATGTCAGGCTCTGACGCTGTTCATGTAGTAAACACAGTGCAGCGCTTCCGGGTTCTACGTTAAAACGCCAGCTCAGTATTGGCCGGCTCCTGCGTCAGCATCGCACTCATGCGACTATTTTAAAGATGTCTTCACTACCTTTCTGGGCCTTGAAACTGGTTATGAAGTTGCTGTCTATGGGGGGTCAGAAAGCTCTTAGATTTCATAAAAAATATCTTCATTTGTGTTCTGAAGATGAACGAAGGTCTTACGGGTTTGAAACGACATGAGGGTGGGTAAATAATGACAGAATTTTCATTTTTGGGTGAACTTTAAATGTATTGTTGTAATTGTAAAAACACTGGTGTGTGGCAAAAGCGGTTTTACCATTTACTGCATTCTGCTATTTTCTTCGTATTTACCTATAACGGCAAATGAATCAAAAGTATACGAAAATAGCTTACTTTCATGTTGCAAAATAAGGGTGGATAGTAGAATGTATCCACTGGATACTGTGAAAAATGTAAATATATATAACATAATTTGGACAATATTTAATTTGTATCAATTTCCCTATTTTTTTTTTTTTTGTATCTTCAATAGTTTTTTTGATCTCATTTCCAACATTAGAAAGCACAATAAAATGTAATAACATCAATTTCTGTATATTTATAATTTCTTTATTATATAAGGATGAGATCCATTGATTTGTTTTATTGTTATTTGTTGATTTAATAATAAAACATTTTTTTATATATTAGTCATTTAATTTTATTTCATTTACAGTATAATATTTTTTTAATACTTTTCCTAAGACAAAACAGTCCGGACCCCAGTTTGAAATCCGGCTGTGCTCAACCTTCCACTTCCAGCAATGAAAACATACCTTCAGTGGGTCTGGCAAAAGAGATGCAAGTTTCTCTGCATACTCCTGCATTTGTGGGTACACGTAGATGGGTGTTGTGTGCCATAGACGCCTTAGCTGTTTCTCGGCTGCCTGTGTCACTTTCCTGCAACCACATTCAAACTTCTGATTCGATTTTAGAACTAACACCATTTCATAAACAAAAACTAAGCCCATGTAAAAGCTCAGGGCAATAACATGCAGAGAAGTACACAAATATTAATCTAATTGCAGTCATTTATTCAATTTCAAGCAAAATATAATGCACATTTAAGAAATAAACAAATAAAGATGTTGCATGGCAACAAATTGAACCTTACGGGTTACAGTGTCCTACACTGACGGTGGCCACCCCCGCAAACAAGTCCAGATAGCGTCTTCCATCCACATCCCACAGCCACTGCATGAAACCCTGGCTTATGAAGACTGGCTTCTTGTAATATGTTACCTTCATGGTCATGGGGTTGCAGTTGTGTTTCCTAATCTCTAGTAAACGGCCTTTAGACATGCCCTATAGGAGAATTCATTCATGCTTAAAGATAAATTGATTTCTCTGTGTATTTGATGATTTTATTTCTCCATGTGAATTATTGTGAATGTCCCCAGACATTAACCTCTTACCTGATATGGCTCAGGTTTATAGTCACATGGGGGAATCTGGGGCAGGACAGGTGTTGTGTGTTTCACTGCTGATTTTTGGCATAGCACACCTGCAGAGGTACATTTTAGTGCTTAGAAATGCATAGGGACAGTTCTGTCAGTCTGTCTGTCTCTCTCTCTCTCTCTCTCTCTCTCTCTCTCTCTCTCTCTCTCTCTCTCTCTCTCTCTCTCTCTCTCTCTCTCTCACTATAAGCAGTAAGACAATGTATTATTTTTAAGTATCTTTAGTCTCTCCATTTCTATGAATCTCTCTCTAGGTTTATGATAGATAGATAGATAGATAGATAGATAGATAGATAGATAGATAGATAGATAGATAGATAGATAGATAGATAGATAGATAGATAGATAGATAGATAGATAGATAGATAGATAGATACATACATACATACATACATACATACATACATACATACATACATGAAAGAAGTTTGTTTGAAATCTTTGCAAATTTATTAAAAATAAAAATCGGAAAAAATCACATGTACTGTACATAAGTATTCACAGCCTTTGCCATGACACTCAAAATTGAGCTCAGCTGCATCCTGTTTTCAGTGATCATCCTTAATGTTTCTACAACTTGATTTGGAAAGGCACACACCTGTCTAAGGTCCCACAGTTAACAGTGCATGTCAGAGCACAAACCAAGCCATGAAGTCCAAGAAATTGTCCGTAGACCTCCAAGACAGGATTTTTTCGAGGCACAGATCTGGGGAAAGGTACAGAAACATTTCTGCAGCATTGAAGGTCCCAATGAGCACAGTGGCATCCATCATCCGTAAATGGAAGAAGTTTGGAACCACCAGGACTCTTACTAAAGCTGGCCGCCCAGCCAAACTGAGCAATCGGGGGAGAAGGGTCTTAGTCAGGGAGGTGACCAAGAACCTGATGGTCACTCTGACAGAGCTCCAGCGTTTCTCTGTGGAAAGAGGAGAAGCTTCCGGAAGAACAACCATCTCTGCAGCACTCCACCAATCAGGCCTGTATGGTAGAATGGCCAGACGGAAGCCACTCCTCAGTAAAAGCAGTGTTTCCCCTACCATTGGTTTGAGGGGGTGGCCCACCCTGAAAGAATGACAAAAATATATTCTCCCAAAAAAATTAAAATAAAAAACGGACGTGTAGTAATTTTAGCGGTAAAAATGTCGAAGAGGAACGGAGAAGGTGACAATCCTAAAAAGGCAAAAAACAAAAAAAAAAGTATTTCTTAAAAGCAACAAAATCCGGAGAAACAACTCAAGCAAAGCCAGCCTCTGTGGGGATGGTGGAGATGCCAATTGAATTTACTGTATAACACGGAATTTCATGGAATTGGTAAATTTTTTGATGAATAAATAAAAAGCAGTTCAGTACACTTGAAATCAAATCGCGATATATACTAGTGTGTGTGTGAATATTAAACCGCAAAAAGACTATTCAAATACAAATCCTCCATGTTCTGTGTGAATGAGAACCCCCCCCCCACACACACACACACACACACACACACTTGAAGCACGTGTATGTTCCCTTTCGAGAGGTCTCTCGTATTGCGTAAGTTAGCTTACGCTATGGGAAAACTCCTTTTCTCGAGAATATTGAAGCCAATTTTTAAAACCCAGTGCAGCTGCACAGCAGACATATAGCTGAGCGTCTAGCGCGCTCATTGGCTGTGCTGCGGCAACTGCACGAACCTATGCCGAGGCGGCTAAGACGCGCAAACCAATGAGGTCGCTTCGCCCAGGGCGCGTCAGATCCCGCCAGATGGGCGTGGCTTATAGCTATATAAGCCCCCATTTTCGCCATAGAATTCAGATATAATCTCCTTCAGCAAGTTTCACTTCATTGACCTCCGGATTGAGACGCCTTCTTCGCCGCCGTCGAACAGCCTTCAGCGGAACAAGCCACCTGGTAAGCAGCTCTGAGGACGCTGGCTTCCTGGTTTTCAACTGGACGCCGCCTTCAGCCCGCTGTTCTGCTGTGCCATCCGGCGTGCTATATCCTTTTAAAGCTAGTGTTCTCGCCACTGCGACTCACTTTCTAAAAGAGCAAAATTCTAGGGGTTGTTTCAAATGCCTTAGGTCACCTGCGCCTCGTGCAGAGGCCCTCTCTTCGGCGGAGATCATCACATCCTTTGCGCTTCCTGTTTGGGCCGTGACCACGGAGAAGCTGCACTCTCTAAGGGCGGCTGCCCGGAGTGTGATGAGATGGCGCTCTCCACCCTGCGGGCTCGATTGGCCACCTTCACCGACGACGACCCCGCGCCTCCCGCTCCCCCTTTTCCTTTGCTCGAGCCGCGCAAGAAAAAACGCCGCGCACAGAGGATGCCAGAGCGGATGAATACGAGTGAGCACATGCCGGCCCAGTCCCAGCGTGCCTCGCTCTCTCCCAGAGAAACCCCCTCGCCAGTCCTGTTCACACATCCGAATGAGAGTAGTGGGCCAACCCCGACCCCGCACCCTCAACACAAGCCATCACGAACGAAGTGAGAACCAGCCTTGACGCAGAGCTTCTCCGTGTGTTGACTAAGGCCGTTGAAGACCTCGGGCTCGAGTGGTCTTCGCCCGAGGAGCCCTTAGCAGCAGGCTAGACGAATGGTTCCTGCAGGGGCGCCGACAAGCCCCTCAGCAGAGACCTGCTCCCTTCTTTCCAGAAGTACACGACGAGGTAACGAAGTTGTGGAAAGCGCCACATTCAGCTCGTCTAAAGCCTTCCATTTCCTCAACGCTCTCGATCGTCGACGGCGCTGTGGAGAAAGGATAAGAAGCAATTCCTCCCCTCGAAGAAGCGGTGGCTGCACACCTTTGCTATGGGATGGAAAGCTAAAGCAACTCACCCGTCCAAACCTTGCCGCCCCACTTCAGCTCTCGCTGGCCGAGCCTACGCCTCCGCTGGCCAAGCTGCTTTGGCGCTTCACACCATGGCTGTTCTCCAGGTTTTTCAGGCCAAACTTCTCCGCTCGATGGACGAGACTGGACCTGAACCGGAAGCTTTCAGGGACCTGCGCAGCGCCACAGACCTGGCTCTGCGAGCCACCAAATCAAGCGCCCAGGCGACTGGTAGGAACATGGCGAACATGGTTAAACTTCTCGGAACGTTACACAGAGGCTCAGAAGAGGCTCCTCTGCTTCGGGCTGCCACAAGAAGGTGCCGCTTCCTCAGCTAGTAAAGCCAGCCCCGCCGGTCTCCCAGCACCGCCCAGCGGCTGAGGTCCGCCACCGCTCTCGCTCAACGAAGCGACTGCAGTTCCCATAGTGATGGGGACACCGACCCAAGATTGTGTTGGACCCAGAGCCTCAGAAGCCTTCCAAGCCACGGTGACAGGAAGGAAAAGAGAATGTTTGAGTCCCGCCGAGGCCGAACCAACCTCCAGAAAGCCTTTTTTACACATCTCCCAGTCCCCTCTTTAGTTCAGGCCGCTGGAAATGTCAACTCAATATTGCAGTAAACGAGTCTGTTTTGAAACATGCACACCTGCAAACAAACGCCGTTTTTACGGCTACCCAAATAAAGCACGAAAAGAGCACTTTTCTGTCTGTTCTTACTCTGGCTCGCGCTGGAGGTGTAATAAATGTAGGTTGTGTGCCCACTATAAAGTACGCACCCCTGCACATAAGCACTGTTCCCACAGTATCAGTTTTCCCTCCGGCTCGCGCTGGAGGTGTAATAAATGTAGGTTGTGTGGCCACTATAAAGTACGCACCCCTCCACATAAGCACTGTTCCCAAAATATCACAAAGCACAGAGCAGCTGGGTGGCCAGGTCCCTATCACAAAGCGGCCCGTCCCCAGACATAATTCAACCCCTAGCTATGCGGGCCAAGGCTTGGGAGGCAATCCCCGGGATATCAGAATGAGTGTTGAACATAACAAAACAAGGCTACTCTCTACAGTTTGCTCGCAGACCACCGTGCTTTCTAGCTGTGGTCGAGACAACAGTGAAATGCGAAGTGGCTCACGTATATCACAAATAAAAAATAAATGATCATCAAAACTTTGTTTTAATGAATAATCAAAAATGTTCTTCCATGTTTTAATTTTAACAGTAAATCTCATATTATTTGACAAAAAGTTTGTTTAATTTCATATGATTAAAATGAATTAAATTAATGTTTTATGTCTTTATTTGATTACCATAAAAAACAACAACACTGAATTTGTGTAAAAAAAAAAAAGAATTAATAGATTTTTTTTTTTTTTATGTTGTATAAGTTTTATGATTTCAATTAATAAGACATGCTTTTTAATTACTAAAAGTGTTATGGTGTAAAACAGGTCTGGCAGAGAGCTTTATTAGTCAGCTTCTGATTCAGGCTATGACAACACCACCGCGGCACGCCCGCTCCGCGGCACTAGTAGTTTTGGGGGTCTACCACCCCCCCTGAAAAAATCCCAGGGGAAACACTGAAAAGGCACATGACAGTCGCCTGGAGATTCCCAAAAGGCACCTGAAGGATTCTCAGACCATGAGAAACAAAGATTGAACTCTTTGGCCTGAATGGCAAGCGTCATGTAGGCACCGCTCATCATCTGGCCAATACCATCCCTACAGTGAAGCATGGTGGTGGCAGCATCATGCTGTGGGGATGTTTTTCAGCGGCAGGAACTGGGAGACCAGTCAGGATCGAGGGAAAGATGAATGCAGCAACCTATAGAGACATCCTTGATGAAAACCTGCTCCAGAGCGCTCTGGACCTCAGACTGGGGCGACGGTTCATCTTCCAACAGGACAATGACCCTAAGCACACAGCTAAGATAACAAAGGAGTGGATGTGAACTCTTTGAATGTCCTTGAGTCCGAGCCCAGACTTGAATCGGATTGAACATCTCTGGAGAGATCTGAAAATGTCTTTGCACCGACGCTCCCCATCTAACCTGATGAACCTTGAGAGGTTCTGCAAAGAAGAATGGGAGAAACTGCCCAAAATAGGTGTGCCAAGCTTGTAGCATCATACTCAAAAAGACTTAAGGCTGTAATTGATGCCAAAGGTGCTTCAACAAAGAATTGAGCAAAGGCTGTGAATAGGCCTACATGTGATCCGTTTAAAAAAAATTTTTTTTTATAAATTTGCAAAGATTTCAAATAAACTTCTTTCACGTTGTCATTATGGGTTATTGTTTGTAGAATCTTGAGGAAAATAATCAATTTAATCCATTTTGGAATAAGGCTGCCATAACAAAATGGAAAAAGTGAAGCACTGTGAATACTTTCCGGATGCACTATAGATAGATAGATAGATAGATAGATAGATAGATAGATAGATAGATAGATAGATAGATAGATAGATAGATAGATAGATAATGGTGACAGGGCACCCATTCGTCATCAAAGATACCATGGTATTGTCATGGTAATGTTCAAACCAGAGCCGTTAAATCAAACGCATAGTTATTTGTCCTATTTTGTTATGACAGGACCGTTATGGTCGGAGTATAAATACGCTACACAATTATGCAAAACTTTACACTAATGTTCCGGTCACTTTAAATGTGGAGACAAAAACACTCTTACCACCTTCTTTGTGGAATTCCACACAAACGTTCACTGATTTCCACGAATCCGTTTTCCCCAACACAGACGGGGCGTGCAGCCGAGAACAAACTTTATGCATTATTACTGTTTTCAGAACAATTCCACAGTGAATCTAAAAATTAAGTGTCGAGAAGCGGCGAATTCTTCCCCAAAGAGTGCTCGGGGAGGGTCGGGCTTAACCAATGACATGTGGGGGTAAAGTCTGTCTCTCGAGGTCTTTCATTGCGAAGTGTCGTCCGTTCCTTCACAGAGAAGGGATGCTCGTTGTTACATTTAATGGCTAAAAGTAGGCCTATGTCAAATCTAGTTTGTTCAGTCTTATCAGATTGTATCCACGAAATGCTAAATGAATTAATGTAAATGTCCAGAATATAAAATATATAGGCCTACTGTAGATTGGTCAAATTAATGTATGGGAATAAGGCTTTTTATTATTATTACAACTAACAGGTTGTTTACCCCCCTTTTTGTTTTATCCTTTGGAAATATTGTTATTGTTATTGTATAACAATTATAATTTTGTTATAATTTTAAAATTATTTTATATTTTGTATTGTTTTACCAATTGTTCCAGACCCAGATTGTTTTCTTAAAATATGAAAATCCATTATAAAAGCATGAATTCGATTTTATAAACTATGATAAAATTCAATAATAACACTTAACAATAAGATTAATTAATCGTAGTTTAAGTTCATTTCAACGTTTACATTATTAAAATCAAATGTTGTATTTGTTAACATTATTAATGCACTGTGAACTGCATTTTTATTAACTAAAATTAACAAAGATTAATTAATACTGTAACAGATGTATTTCTCATTCATTGTTAGTTCATGGCAGTTAATACATTAACCAATGTTAACAAATGAGACCTTATTGTAAAGTGTTACCATAAAAATAATAGGTCATATAGGCCGAAGTAGAATATTTGTTTTTGGATTATTTTAAGCCTAATAAATTATTTTCTACTAAGCAATATTTTCATGAATAACTCTATGGTGTACTGTACGTGTGTTGGCTGATTTGGTTAAATGTGTTTAAGGGCAAAATAAAAAGCCATCATTCTCATAATAACCACTCAAACACCTGAAACAGTCTGAACATGTTTTAATGGTTTTGCTATGCGCTTTCACAAATAATGTTTGTTATGGAAAAGCAGAACACAATAAGGATGTATTACAGAAGATGTATTATTGTCAACTTACATGGTTAACATTAAAAGTTTAATTTCAGCACCTCCAGTTGTTTGAATTCATAAATAAAAAAAAGACAGCAATGAAAATAGCAACATTATTTTAACAAGACATATTCTTAGTGTATAACAAACTAATGGTTTTGAATTTAAATTATTTTAATACAGCAAATGTTGATTAAATTGGGTTTGGTATATTGAAATCAAAAACTGATTTCAGTAACAAAGCTTGAATGCCTATCCACATGCCTTTTCTTTGATAGCTTACTCTCAGATGAAAAGACTGAAATATTATTTCACACTGTTGTCCTGAGAATTCACATTAAATTAGATTTTAGCTGTTACAAACACTTTTAGCAGATTTGCCATCGCCTGAGATCGTAATCTATTAAAGAATTGATGCATTACTCTGTCAATGCAGATTTATTATGCATGGAACTGAGAATGTATGACTGTTGAACAACAAAGACATAAAAAATGGTATGCTACTCACAAATCAACAAAGTTAGATTATAGGATGATTTATACTGTATGGCTTAGGCAAACCCAACAAAACTATTTATCTGTAGGTTACATATAAATGCATTTCTACATATTATATAACAATTTAATTTATTGTATATTCACATGTACACTTTAGACATAAACACATGTTTAGTGTGTTTAACTCTATCCAACAAAATACACACCCGTCTTCTCTCAGATATTTCTGCATAAAATAAGGCAACTTGGAGTTTGACTCTTGCACTGGCAAGGGCTATTTCGTTAACTCGTCTCCATGTAACTGGTTTTTAATGGTTAGCGATTTGTGCATCAACAAGATAATAACTATCTGGTTATTTTGGAATGAATTAGTTTTATAAAATATTTTTAGATTTTCTTTTTTATATCAAACATAAAAAATATGCGATGCTGAATTAATGGCTACCTAGGATATACAGATTTGGAAAAATAGATTCTCACAGGGTTAACATTCAGAGAAACACAAATTCTTACAGCGAATAATTTACTTGGAAAAACTGGCAGTTTACTTTTTTTTTATTTTTGTGCCTTTGTGCTCAAAATCAGTGCCAATAACATTTATAATAAATACATTCGGCAGAAGTGTTTAAGCAAGTTTACCTCCACCTGAGAGTTGTAAATATCAAAGGCAAATTTTACAGTTTACAATCAGTTCAAATCCCTTTTCATGTATTTATATTTGCATGAGTGCACCTAAAATATGAAGACATTTTGAATTGTACGGCTGAAATTACACTGTTTCCAGAATGAACACCATAATATGCAAGTAAATACTATTAAATTTCAAATTTCAAATTCATTAAATGTGAACACTTTAAATACCCCGATGAGATTATTATGTAACGGAGGGGGAGGGGCTATCAGACAGACTCCGATGTTGAATGACAAAATAATAACCTTATAAAATTCATACACAACACGGTTGAGTAAATAGTGCATAAGTGCATAGTGTATAGTGCGTCGTTTGAGACACAGCTAAAGCCTAAATAGCTATTTCGCTATTGGGTAACATCTAGCCAAAAGTAAAAATTGTACCAGAGATGGAGAATTCTTTTAGTTGGGAATTTTGCATAAACGTATATTAAAGTAAATAGGATCCATTTTTATTTCATGTTAACTTTAAAGACTTTAAAACAGTTCTTTTAAGTGTAAAACATTTTTGTTTTGGTGTTTATAAGCGTCACCTCATCAAAGTACACAATCTGTCAAAGAAACCTCTGTAACTTCACAGTCTCTTTACAACACTCTACAAACTGCACAGCGCACAGACCCTTTCCAGAACTCAGCTCTGAAACAAGTCCTTCTTGCTTACATCTAGTTAAAAGTATCATTTGTGTAAATATAAATCCTCTTTCTTAAACCAATGTAGCAAGATAAAGCGCTTCTTTTAGGGCTTGGCATGAGCTGTTGACAGTCTTAGTGTTTAGGATATTGTTTTTGCTGCAATCGAGGCGGATCACATCTCTGCCTTCATGCACTGGACCACTATGTGCTAGTAGGATGGCATCAAGACTGTTGAATCCACATAACCGTTTACCATCACCCTCACGCCTTCCTGTGGCATGGGACTGTACGATTGGTGGACGGCAGGTTTGCGGGGGTGAGGTGCTTGCTGGCTTGTGCAATGATCAGCCTGGGTGTAATCGTCCACACACTGATGGGACGTTTCCCTTTGCAGAAACAGAATATTGTTCGATGTCACTTCTTTGACCTTGCTGTAGTCCTCCCCGGTGCGATCGGACCCTTCAGCCTCACGGTTAGGGTCTGAAAGTGGCCTAAGCAGTAGCATGTTGTCCGGGTTGACCCTCTGCACCTCTAAGTATTCCAAGGAATGTGACGGAGGCACGCAGTGAGCAGGAGTGTCGGAGCCGCCCCGATCGAACTGGTTGTAGCTTTGGGAATGTGGGCAGGCCGGCTTGCTGAAGCGTCCCTCCTGTGGCGGGCTGTCCTGATGGTGAAGCTGGTGGTAGTTGCTTGCCGTTGCATGTGGTGACAGATGGCTGAGGATCTCTGGGACACTGTGGTAGGCCGGTTTCGCAGCTCCTACTTGGTAGTGGTGGTGAAGTTGAGGTTGGGGAGACGAAAACACAATTGGCCAGGTCTTGACACGTCCATCAGGGGACTCTGGAGAACTGGGTTCAGGGCCCTGGCTTTCACTGCTTTCAGTTGAAGCCCAGCTCGTTTCTCCATGCTGGCTATACTGATGCTGATCGCTTCCGCCTCCTTCCCGTCCATCCATGCACTTCTCCAAAAGCAGGGTGCGACTGTCGCAGCTGCCCCGGCCGGAGTCGCAGTCCGATGGGCTTTTGGACTTCATGCATTCCTCTGATAGATCTTTAACATCCAGTACCAGCTCTTGCTCCTCATTGTCGTACACCTCAAGGTACTCCACCAGTAAGTCATCATAATCGGTGGTTGGAGGGAAACCTTGGATCACCAGAGAATTGAAAACTTCCTCTGATTTCCCGCTCTGTAAAGAAAGCAAAGCATTATTTTTGAAATAACTGCCAAAAAAATGCACTTCAAATAATATCAAAGATATCAAAACCTTTATTTCCTCAGCACATGCTTTCCCATTAATCAACTTGTGAGACATTTTAAAGGGATACGGCACCGAAAAATGAAATTTCTGTCATCATTTACTCACCCTCAAGTTGTTGCAAACCTGTATGAGTTTCTTTCTTCTGCTGAACACAAAGGAAGATATTTTGAAGAATGATTGGAACTTTGGCACCATTGACTTCCATAGTATTTTTTTTTTTTTCCACTATGGAAGTCAATGGTGCCAAAAACTGTTTGGTTCCAATCGTTCTTCAAAATATCTTCCTTTGTGTTCAGCAGAAGAAAGAAACTCATACAGGTTTGCAACAACTTGAGGGTGAGTAAATGATGACAGAATTTTCATTTTTCGGTGGAGTATCCCTTTAAGGGGTATGAAGATTGTTATAATTTGTCTTTTTGAAAAAAAAAAAAGGTTTTCTTAAAAATTGTCTTCCTCAGTGAGGATTTAAAAGACAATTACGAACTGACAAAATTTGAACTGAATTGAGCTGGAAAATGACACTAACTTTGTAACATCGACACTGTTATTGAACTGAACTGAACTGAATAATGACACTATTGCCTTCTGTAGAGCTGCTTATAGCTAAATTGAAAATTATTCAAATTGGTGCTCTACCAACAGAAGAGGAGGTGCAACCAAAAAAATCTAAAATTCATGAAAGTTAGGAGAAGATGCAGCGCTCACTCTTAAATAAATTCAACTTTAATAGTTAAAAAAACATGTGACGTTTCCTCGATGGTGGCCGAAACGTCACAAGTAAAAAAAAAAAAAAACTATTATAGCTAAATTGAACTCATTTCATAATTGATAAACTTTGCAACATCAACACTGTTATTGAACTTAATGAATGAACGCTGAACTAGCTTGAGCTGAATAATGACACTATCGACACTTCTATTTTTAAAGCTAACTTGAAAAATTTCAAAGATGATTTGGAAACAGGCTCCACGAGTTCCACGAGCGACCGTTTTATTACCTTGAGCAGCTGTTTGTCGAATCCTTTTATTTTCGGTCCAGGAACAGGAGGCAGCAAACAAAGCTTCACACTGAATGCAAATATATTTTAAAAAAAAAGAAAAGAAAAAGTGAGATTCTAAACATTTATATTGAATTCAACATTTTGCTCAAAACTGTTCTTCAAAGGTTAAATCAATTTTAGTAGATAAAATGTAATCATTTGGATGATTTATTTAGATAAACAATTATTATATTTTCCTAAGGTGTTTGATAGTAATTGGTCTTCATTTCTTTCTTAATGCATGGTTAAGAACAATGTCTATCAACAAATGCTTTACATGCATGATCATAATATTATAACCACTATGGATCTACTGAAAATGGATTTATCTACAATACGGAACAAAAGCTTCCACGTGTCCCGACAGGATTAAGAGATTAATTTTGGATCCCGTTTGTTCTTGTACTATTGAGAATCCCTCACATTATTTGACCACGTAATTAGTCTATCTTTTGTCTATTTAAATCTATGTTGAGAGAAACTGGCCTAAAAACTACATTTGAGAGTGAAGTGAGGTACTGCAAAATCTGGATCAATCCTCTAATGGCAGTTTAATCCTACATAATAAGTATTTGTCAGCAAGAACATTGATGTGTATAAATAGCCATAGCAAATTTGATTTCAATCACACTAATAGGTTTGAATGAACTAATAGGTATTTGCCAATGCCAGGATAAAAACAGAATTAAATGCAAAACTAAATAGATGAGATATCAACCAGCAATCGGTAAACAAAAACAATACATTAATGTCCCTAAAGGGACATGGTGAAGAAAAAAAATATGAGATGGGAGAAAAAAAATGATTTGGCAATGGTTTTGCGTTCTCTCGCAAATGCTTTGCGTTCCCCGAGAAACGTTGCTTTCACAAAAGTTTTGCGAGTGAACGCCCATGTCCCTTTAGGGGCGCCGTACATTTAAAATAAAGTAAAATACATTTAAAATGAAATAAAACAAAAATGAAAAATAAAATACATTTAGGGCTGAGTGGTGGAAATGTTTCAGGCTCAAAAACGCACCTGTTTCTTTTTATGTTTAGCGCCCAGGTGAGGATGAGGACGAGGAAGACAGAGAAAATCGTGATTATGATCCACAGCGAACGCTCTCTGGGTATATCTATACAGCACAAACACAAAAACAGGAAATGGTGATGAATAGAGTGCATCTCCACTGCAATTTGTTTTCTACTTATGCCACTAGATTGCGGTGACACACAGGACCACCAAAAATGAAAAAGAACAGGATAAACACTGGGTAAAAATTGGGTCACTACATAAAAAAAAAAAAGCAAAAATCCTATGAAAAAACTCTCAAAATAAACTAATTAGACCAGTGTGGTATGTGAAAATGCTGTGAGCTGGAAACAGGCTGATCTCTGACTCGTTTTGCTCTATTTCATGCTTGCCGTCGTCAGGTGCGTCTCCCTCCGGGCCTAACTTTCCACGGAAGCTCCAGGGCAACTGAGGCCCAACAGGAGCTGCAGCACAAAAACATGCGTGGCTGAGGTTGTGCTAGCCGGGTAAAGATGAGGTCATGATGACTCCCTGGAGAAACCGAAAGCCTGTTGGTACTCCCTCTAGAATTGTCTGCTCTGTTAGATACATATGCGTAGAACAGATTTGTTCTCAGGCTCAGCGGGAGACCATAGAAACACAGACTATGGTCCTGAAACGGCTCTCTGGCGGTGCTGGATGATCATTTAATAGGCTTCAAGATTACCTTAAACTACTGGACCAGACATGTTTTGCTTCTCTGACATGTGTCTAAGCTGAAAAAAGGGCACATATTTTCAGATGTTACCATTTTTCGCATCATTACTGGTGCAGGTTTTTATGTTTAGCAGCTGGCAAGTTAAACAGTTTGAGAACTGAAAATCTGGGATTATAAATGTAAGTTAAACTAGAAAATAATGTTTGTAAATAATAATAATTGTAACTTTCAACTCCAATTGTTAGGCTGATATGCTGAATTTAATTTGTAACAGTTGTATTACATTTGCATAATGCAGAAAACAATCAATTTTATATAAACTAAAAAATAAACTAAAAATAACACAGAGGGTCAAACGTTTGGAATAATTAATATTTTTAATGTTTTTAAAAAAGAGTCTCTTATGCTCACAAAAGCTGCATTTACAGTAAAAAGAGGAATTTTGCTAAATATTCTTACATTTTAAATGAACTGTTTTTATAAATATTTTAAAATGTAATTTATTTCTGTGATGTCAAAGCTGAACATTTCTTCTTCTTATTATTATTATTATCAATGTTGAAAACAGTTGTGCTGGCAAAACAAATTTTGTGGAAACAGTGATACACTCCCATTTACATGTTTGGGGTAAGATCTTTAAAAAATGTAAAAATAAAATTATAATTATAAATAATTGTATTTTTTATTCAGCAAGTATGCATTAAATTGATAGTCAATTTGAAGTGTTAGTAAAGACATTTATAATGTTACAAAATATTTCTATTTCAAATACATGCTGTTCTTTGGAACTTTCTATTCATCAAATAAAATGTATTACAGCTTCCAACATTGATAATAATAAGAACCATTATTAATAATTGAGCCAAATAATAACTGATAATAATTAAGCAGCAAATCAGCATATTAGAATGATTTCTGAAGAATCATGTGACACTGAAGACTGGAGTAATGATGCTGAAAATTCAGCTTTGACAACACAGGAATAAATTACACTTTGAAATATCTATTAAATATAATTTTAAAACAGAAAACAGTTGTTTTAAATTGTAATAATATTTCACAATATTACTGTTTTTTGATCAGATAAATGCAGCATTGCTAAGCATATAAGACTTCTTTCAAAAATATTAGAAATCTTAATTATTTCAGACTTTTGTCCCCCAGTGTGTGTGTGTGTGTGTATATACCGCATTTTTGGAACAAAAACATTCAAAGATTAAAATCTACCCAAAAACATTTATAATAACCAAGTTTACTTAAAAAAATGAAAAGAAAAAAGACTTACAGTCAGGCATTTTGACATAGCTGGTTTGGGTCCACTCACTCCAGAAGCCATGATCAGGTTTACATCGCACCTGCACCATGTATTCTTTACCAGAGTGAAGACTGAACACGTTAAGGTACTTCTGCATGCCAGCATCATACTTCTACACACACATAAAGAGAACACTTAAGATCACTAATCAATATGAAAATCCTTTTTATTAATAAAATGTCTTAAAAATAAAGACTATACAAATATCAAAACTCCATTTGTTGCATATTGCAAAATATGTTGACATGTTGTTGGTCGAATTCAGACCAAAATAAATATTTTCTTGAATGTTTATGCAGTTAACTCTTAAAATCAAGACAATCGCAGCATCAGCAATGATCATCAGTTACATGTGTTGTCTCAGTTCATTAAGCCAATACTATTGCTCTCAGGTTACTCTGTCACTAGGCAATCATTATTGTTCATGCCTCTGTCTTACTGAAGCACAGCCTTTGGGGTAAAAAAAAACGAACAAATCTGGTTTGATCTAGTCCCTGTTGTTCTGCATATCTAGCCTCCCTCAGGTTTCTGGGGACTAATGAAGACATAAACCCAGGCTGGGACAGTCAATGATTAAACTGCTTTCTGTAACAGCTTATTTAATGTCGACCCACTGGCTGTCCAAATGCGTTCCATTCATTTAAGATCTCGGATAAAGTCACAAACAAACAACTGTTAACTATTTTCTAGTCTGGTTGTTAATATTTAAAAAGCTCACATTCAACAAGTTAGATGGTAACACCAGTCCATCATATCAAGAAAACAAGCATTTTGTATGTTGTGAAGATAGCAAACTGCATTCTAGTTGATTCCTCTAGGTGGCGCAAATCTAAATAGTCCAGTGCAAAACAAGGTAATAAATAGACTAATCGATAATCAAACACTTTCTAAACAAGATGCACAGATTTATTTTTTCAACCCACCTCCCATTCTTGATCTTTTTCTTGTTTAACTCGTAGCTGGTAAAGGAGCGTGATCCACCCTGAGCGGGTGTCTGCGGTCCGTGGTTTCTCCCAGGTCACTTTTACATAAGGACCCTGGTCGTCTTGGACCACTACTGCTGTGACGTTCTCTGGAGTGTTTGGTTGAACTGTGGGTGAAATAGAGAGGACAGGATAGGATAAGCAAAAATATACAAGAGGTAAACCTACTAATGTGATAATATGATCCCGTGATATAAAACCGTGAGGCATTTCATTAGGATTCTTCGATGAACAGAAAGTTCAGTAGAACAGCGTTTATTTGAAATAGAAATATTTTGTAACAATGTAAAAGTCCTTGCTGTCACCAGTTGGATGCGTCCTTGCAAAGTATTAATAAAAATAAAAAAACTGACTCCACACCATTTGAATGTAATGGGATAGTTCACTCAAAAATGAAAATTCTGTCATCATTTACTCACCCTCATGTCAAACACAAGGGGCCAGATTTACGAACAGCCTGCGCCTGCGCAAACCCTTATTTGGAGTTATAAAACTACTGTCAGGATTTACTAAAGACACGCAGTGAAAACTTAGCGCTGAAAAGGCGTGGACAGGGTTATTTTTGCGGCTGACCTTATATGCATTTGTATGAGCTTCCCTTTCAGACGCAAAATTTACAGGAGGAGAATATTCAAATGAATCATGCAAGGTGATTTACTAAGGTCTGCACTAGTCAATTTACTGGTATTTGAGCCATTATTTAACGCCCAAAAAAAGCATGTCTTAAACCAGACGATAATGTGTGCTGCTCTTGGTAGATTTCCCACTCCCATCGGAGCTTTTTTGGTTTTGCGCTTTAATGCTAATTTGCCATGTTTAGCCCTAAATATAATACATTGCAGAATGTCAATATATTAGGACAAAAAAACGAGTTCAATATGACTTTTAAAGATCACTTTGTATGAGGAACAGACTGAGATTTGCATCATTCACTGAAAATCTTGCCATTTACTGTAGCTTTCAAATCTCATTTGCTTATATAACAAACCCGTTTTGGAGTTTGACAGCCCCTAACTTTGATTGATTATACAGAAAAGGGTAGCTCTGATATTTTTGTGTAACAAATGCAGGTTTTTGAACGACATGAGGGTGAGTAAACGACATTCTTGGGTGAACTATTGATTTCAAATTCCGTCCATTCAGCGATAATTCAGAAAACGAGTTTCTTCCAGATTGAGGGTAAAAAGCTAGTCGACACCTAATAAGGTCAACCTAAGTGACCTTTGCACACAAACCTGAAAACGTGCTGAAGAAAAAGGGATGAAAGAAAGAACAGAAAAGTGTGCTTCGTACTGTGAATGAGTGTTTCGCCCCTTCAGCATAAATAAAAAACATTAGTTAAAGTTTAGTCTCAGTTATAGTTGTACATATGAGTTAATGATAAGAAGGAATTGGACTGCACAAATTGTTCAGATCAAAAGAACTTGACATGTCAAATTGTGCAGGAACTAAAAATAAACCAATCGAATAAATTAGATTGGTAAAAAATGACCCTTTCGGGTTAATGCGGGAGAGAACATGTGACAGACGGAAACTGTGTGTAATATTTTATGACCCAAACGACAGAATAATGTTCTTTCGCAACAGTGATTCCAGACGGGCAGCAATAACATTCCTCTCATTGATGACTCCACTGCAATAAAATCTGCAACAGCGGTCTGTAACATCCAATATGCACTAATAAATGAAATTACAAACAAATGACACATTATGCAGGAAAGAACATAAGGTGAGAGGGGCGGATGAAGAGAAATGAATGGGATGGGGGTGATACAGTACAGGACTGAAAAGCTTATGATGACAACATACAGTATAAGCGTACCTATATAGACCACGTCCACCTCCACGGGCTCTGAAATATTCTTCCCCAGGGCGTTAGTGGCCACCACGGTGATGTTATAGTTGACCCAAAGCGATGTGTCATTTTTGTTGAAGAAACACGAGTTCTCGCCCGCGGTTCTGTAATCCGGGCACTCGTAGACCGTCTCGGAGCTGAATATGACAGATATCAACAGACAGATTTACACTTAATAACTGAAATGATACACACGCCAGAATAAATTATGAACATTTCTAAAAGATAGTTTGTGTCTGAACACTGTGACAATCCATAACCAGAGAGCCAACATGCACTTCCAAAACGGAAAACAATATTTTGATCATAAATGTGCCAACCATAATACTCAGAACTCATGATGTTACCATCAAAATATGAACTAAACTTGATCAGTGTACTTTTCATTTACTACTGTATGTTTGGGCCAAAAAAGAAAACGAGTTTCTCAGTGTTTAGTCCATGTCTGTTAGCTTTGATAGTAATCTAAACTACAATTCAAAGGTTTAGGGTCAATAATATATATATTTTAAGAGAGAATTTATTTTATTAAAGAACATTATTACAAAAAAAAAAAATCTATTTCAAATAAATGCTATAAATTTGAACTTTCTATTCATCAAAGAACCCTAAAAAATGTATCACAATTTCTACAAAAATATTAAGCAGCACAACTGTTTTCAACATTGGTAATATGAAATGTTTGTTGAGCGGCTAATCAGCATATTAGAATGATTTCTGAAGGATCATGTGACACTGAAGACTGGTGTAATGATGCTGAAATTTCAGCTTTGACATCATAGGAATAAATTACATTTGAAAATTTAAATAAAACAGTTATATTTCACAATATTACAGTTTTTAATGTATTTTTGATTAAATAAATGCAGCCTTGGTGAGCATTAGAGACTTATTTCAAAAACATAAAAACAATATTACCAACCCCAAAAGAACAGTAGTTTAGTGTACTCCTTAAAGTTGACAAAATAAACCTTTCATTGCAGTAAATGTACAGTCTTTCTGGGAAAATGGACCAAAAATATTGCCAATTCATCTTCCCCGTAGGGGTGTATGAAACCTTTTGTAAATGTATCCCAACAACATTACAAGCTCATTTCATACTGCACCCTTGAAATATTACAATTCAGCACATTCTTCACATGAGAACTGTACGAACATAAATTCTCTGAACTCCTCTTGGTGTGGCATTACATGGTATTACTGTAGTTTTGATCTGTTTGTTTACAGTTCTTGGCGAATCTCAAAGCCATAATGTTGGCATAACACTTCATGGATCTGCTCTGGTGAAAATCGGAGTAAATTATATTTGGCAGGGTGTGTGGGCACGTTTGTGTTGGCTGAAAGCAAGTCATGTATATATTTCTGATTAGTTCCCATTTGAGCTCAGAAACAGACACATAAACACATGGCAGAGAAAATGTACTTTAACCCCTCATTACTGGAGAGGAAAGGGCAAGACAAAGAAAAGATGCTCATTAAACACTGAGGCTAGAAAGGAAATGCTTTCTTGGCTCTAGAAAAGGAAAAAGAATAGAGACTGACTTTTCTAGACGGTAGTAGAGGGCGTAGGTGGTTGGCAGACCCCCGTCATCTCCAGGCTCCCACCAGCAGGTGAAGGTCTCCTTCTCTGGAGAGCGACAGCTTGTGAGTCTGGGTTTGCCTGGGGAACTGACACCTGCGGATATATCGTGCCCATTTAGAGTGCAAAGAGAAGTCTAATTCGCCCGTTGGTTCCTTCAAGATTTCCCTATGGGGTTTTGCAACGGGTTTTTTCAATTTATGAGTAAAATAAAGTCTGTGGTAAACATAACTTGACGATAGGCTACAATGACATTTTGTGCAACAACAACGTTACACTGCACACACTCACACCCCAAGCTTTTCTGGTTACTTTTTAAAAAAAAACATACGTTTTCAAAAATGAACATGACTGCTTATAAATTCACGTTTTTCGCTATGGGTGTGTGTAATTTAAGTTGAAGGACAAACCGTCAAAGTACAGTCAAGTTATGTATCCCACAGGCTTTATTTTACTCATAAATTGAAAAACCCCCGTTGTAAAACCCCATATGAAAATCTCGAAGGAACCAGTGGCGAATTAGTCTTCCGTGACACATTAAAGTCACCATGATATCAAAATTGATAGTTATTATTTTTATGGAATATTGTATTTTTTATTATAAATGATTTATTCGTGAACACTATATTTTTTTAATTAATGTGCACTTGTAATCTTTAATCAAAATGACTTTTTTCACGCAACTTCTTTTTTCTGATGATGCGAGGGCGGGACAACCTGTCACTCACGTGAGATCGCTAACGACAATCATCCAATCAATCGACGGACCAAATCAAGTCCCGCCCTACATTTTTTCTTGTTCGAGAAGCCACTTCACTCTAATACAAGTCACAATAGGGAAGAAAAGTCTATCTCGACTTCCATTTCATGCCAACTTTTACATTTTTCTGTATGTAAGACTATTTGTATGTAAATGATCACATTCAATTCAATGGGAAAATGAAGGATTTGCACTAATTTGTTTGCTTTGCGTTGCATTAATAAGGCCTATGATACACTGTTCACGAATATACTAACAAAAATGGTATTCTTTTAAGCACTTTAGTACCATGGTACTTGAATATGGCAATCATTCAGTACCATAGTATGTAGTATATGTATATACTATAGTATATGTTAAATATTAAAAATACAAAACAGTAGACAAAGCAAAAACGGATGACGAGTCCAGCTTGGGGTCGGTAAGATTTTTTAAATGTTTTTGAAATAAGTGCTCACCAAGGCTGATTTATTTGATTAAAAATATAGTATAAACAGTAAAATTGTGAAATATTATTACAATTTAAAAGAACTGTTTTCTTTTTGAATATATTTTAAAATGTCATTTATTTCTGCTCTGACTCCAGCAAATTAGAATGATTTCTGAAGGATCATGTGACACTGAAGACAGATGTGGTGCTCAAAAAACATTTCTTGTTATTATCAATGTTGAAAACAGTTTAATATTTTTGTGAAAACTGATTTTTTTTTTTTTTTATTGAAAAAAATTGAAAAAGCTCAAAATAAAAGCCTATATATGAAATAGAAATCTTTTGTTTTTACTTTCATTTTAGGTCAATTAAATGCATTTTTGCAGAATAAAATATTCACTTCTTTACTAAATCTTACTGACCCCAAACTTTTGAATGATATGTGTAAAGATAAAGTTAGTCAAGTTGAACTGCTAACTGTAGCTTCATAAGCAATAACACTGCTCACCTGCTGCTTGTGATATTAAATTGGTAATAAAGGTCAAAATCAGCACGGCCCCAGAGTTCCTCATTGTCCCTGATGGCTTCTAAACCCCTTAAATCTGTCAGTGAGAGATAAGAGAGAAAGCGAGATATTAGATCTTTATGATTTCCATTGGCATAAAGATCCCAGATAATTCTTTAATAGATGGGGGAAATACTGTGAAAGATGTTTATAAAAAATACATCTATTACAAATCTAAATTAAAAATGACAGACAGAAATACAGTTTGTTGAGGAGAGCAGATACCATAACTGTAATTGATTCTCACGTGTTAATGAGCCTTCTGTGTTTACAGTATAAACATAAGATCATGTTAATGTGGGACCATTACAATGAAACAGACACTGGACAAAACAAAGACATATTTATTTGGAAAACTTTCTTTGTCACCTGTCACCTGAAAATATCTACTGCTTACAAACCAGAGAAATCAAATATGCCTCTTATGATATTTTGAATATGACCCATAAAAAAAGCAGTTAAAGTTCACAAAAAATAAAATAACATAAATGAAATGATTTTTCTGCATTCGGGTTTGCTCTTAAATTGCTTGTTTGTTCAGATCGGATTTCATTATTTAAATATTTTTCCTGGAACAAAGTGTTCTCCTGAGAAACTTAAATGCAAAGTTTCTTGGGGGGAAAACATTTTGCGTGCGAATGCAAACTCATTGACTTACTGTACATTTTTTTTAACCTCCAGGCTCAATACATCTTTCAACACTTTCTCATTCATTAGTTCCTTCAGTGCTTCTTATCATTTTAGAGAACAGGAGCAATGCAGATCAGTTCAACTCATAGTTATAAAAAAGGTACTTATCTATATTTCATGAGGTTTTGCAACCAACTGCCTACCAATTAAAAATATAGCGGTCATCAAACTGCCACTTATTTTACATGCAAAGGACCATGTAAAAGAGCAGTATCTCTTAGTGTGGGAATTTTCCTAGTGTTTTATATATCGGTAGGTCATTTCTGTATGTTTACAACATGACATAGACCTTGAGGCAAAGCTTTTAAACTTACTTTTCAACATCACCCTTCTGACAATGGAAGAAAAGACTTCTATTGGCATATGTGAAACTTCCAGTATAAGAATTGCTCAACTCATAAAATAGCCAGACAGATCCATGCCTCCAATCAAAGGTCTAAAGTTCTACGGAAACTATTTTCAACTTGAATTTTCATCAAAACAGACAAACACAGCAAAACAAATAGTCAAATGTTAAGCTAATGCAAGATATTAAACTTAAATAGGGAATAGGATTACATTTTATATCAGCTCTTTTATTTACTATTTATCCATGTTTTGGGGGGTTTGCAATTATTATAACCCCATTATCAATTTTTAGAATATACAGATTTCCAGGTTCTAGGTAACCAGGTTCAAAGTTTATAAATGAATATATATATATTCAATGAATCGTGAAAAAATGTATTACTGTTTCCTGTTTCCGCAAAAATATTAAGCAGCACAACTGTGTATTTAGTTTAGTTGTGGTCATAATTTCACTTTCTTTCCTTTTACTTTGGCAGAAACTAAGAAATTGGAATGGAAACAGGAATAAACAAGAGCAGCAGGACAAAAAAAGGAAAGGTCAGAGCACAAAAGGTGAAACTCTCTAATGAATATTCATGAGCAACCTGAGCAGCCAAGTCACGCAGGCTACATGTAAGTCTAGTGATTTTAGTAAATCACTGATCATCTTTAGCACTAATGTTATTTAGTGCCAAGTCTTACAGGGCCCAATAGAAACAACAGGATGTTAGAGAGATTTGAATTAAGGGGGTCTAAAGTGTTTAATTGAATACCAAACATGGGTGGTTGCCTATAGAATCACTAAAACACATACGTCTAATTATTTATTATTCTTTAAGGAAACCCACAATTTGACCACTAATTAGGGCCCGAGCACCGATGGTGTGAGGACCCTCTTGGAATTGCTCTGTTTATTATTCTTGTCTGTATAGCTCCAACGTGCATAATGAGTTATGGGCCAAGGCTTTGAGCAAAATACCTGAGCAATAATGCAAAATGTTCAGACAGTGCAATTTAGGTTGTGGAGATATGTAGTATTTTTGTCAGGAAAAACTATTCAGAACTTCTGAAGTATGTCACATACGGCTTTGAATCAACTTGCAAAAACCTCAAAGTTTGCCTGTGCATGTAACTGAGCTCTGTAAAGTCCAAATCTATTGCTCATCTTTACAATTGATGTCCTGCTCATACTAATAAATCTCATATACTGTAGATCACAGTCATATGGATGATGTCACAACCTCTATTCTAACCTCATTTGTATAATTCATAGAAACTTGACCTGTCAAAAGACAAGAAGTCCTGACTCATACTGGCAAACATGATTAAGACAATTCCCTGGAAACTAAAAGGACATGAATGCAATTTACCAGCAAATTTGTTTTCCTAAGCATTTAGCCGTTAGCTTGAGAACACGACCGTAGCATGAGAACACAAGCTAATCAATCACAGTGTGTATTTTCTGCTTTGGTATGCAGGCTCTTTTTTCACCAAACGTATCAGTTTCTGTCAGCTTTACGATATTAAGTGCTACCGGTGTAAGCATGGAAATAATATGCAAATACATTTGGCATCTGACTCCACCGGAATCGGCTTAATCTCCAGCCTACCATTAATCTGATGACAAAAATAAGCACTAAGCACATGGAAATCATGATATTAGGACAGCAGATTGAGATAGACATAAACATGACGGATAGAGTGAGAGTGAGAGAGAGAGAGAGAGAGAGAGAGAGAGAGAGAGAGAGAGAGAGAGAGAGAGAGAGAGAGAGAGAGAGAGAGAGAGAGAGAGAGAGAGAGAGAGAGAGAGAGAGAGAGAGAGAGAGAGAGAACTTTTATTTCCCCTGCTGAACAGGGTGGCATCACAGATTAAAAAAAAAGAAAGAAAAAAAGCTTCTCCAGCTGGCATTTTCTCCATATCTGATTACGTAAGAGATTATATCATCATAACAGAAAGACCAGGTCCAACTGTGTTGGGCTTCATTCCCTCTTTATGAAAAGTGGAATAGTGCAAGACCCTGCCATGACACAAGCTGGCAGCCCACCAGCGCCTCAATGAGTTCAACAAGCATGGCGATTGAAGGAGGACACTGGATTGTTGTTTTTCATTGCTGAAAAATTGCAACGGCTTGGGATCTAATATGCTGATTTGGTGCTCAATTATATCAAGTACTATTGACACTCAATTATTAAATCAAGTTTTTAATGTTGTTAACATGTCTATGTGGTGTATTTTAAAACAAACTATGTGCAAATGTATAGGTCAACACCATTGTAGAGTATTTTTCTCTTTAAAACTGCAGCCTCAAAAACGCGGTTTGAAACCGTCCCTGGTTCCTACTGCCAAAAACAAGTTACCAGGGTTGCCAGGTTTGCCAGCCCAATTGCTATTCAAAACCCGCCCAATCACACCCACGGTCTGGGGGGTTCCCCGCAGTATTACAAACCTCACCACTACAAATTACGCCCCCTATGAAACAGCCATTCGGGATGTCATCAGAGCCCATCCCTCTAGAATCGCTGATGTCGGGCAAATTAAAATTAAAATCAAACGGACCTGTGGAGAAGGGCCCTTCAAGGGTCCAAAAACCCCATTTGGAATTTGCTGGTCGTTCTTCTACTTCACTTTCCTTGCTTTTTAAGCTTGACTATTGCCACCTAGTGATAACTAAGTCATACAAATCGTAAAACATAAAAGATCATCAGATGCCCGTAAGCCATCATGTTTGTTTTCCTTTGTTTTGTTAAAGTATTAGTAACAAAAAAAAACAACACTTCGGTTTTTAGTCCACTTTGAAACTGATTGATTGGAGGCAGGGACTAATTAGCATATTTACGGTTCTGTGTATACTAAATGAAGCAAGGGTGTAGTTACATTTAAGCTATTTTATGGCATAAAGAAATTATTTTCACAGGAAATATGTCATTATGTCATGTTGATTATCAAAGATGAGTTTTAACCAATGAAATAATGACTAAATTCAGAACACGCAAAAGTACAAGCACTTTTAATAAACTGTCTCTAAACTGTCATCTAATTGGTTTGTTGTGTATTAACCTAACTAATTGGCAATTAGTCAGTAAAGATATAAAGGTGTGCGGATTGCTGACCCTTTAATCTTCCAAACAGATTCCTGGGACGAGTTTAATCCAGTATCACAACCGCATTGCACAAAGGTGCATGTCTGACTGTGATGTGTATATACTGCCATTTATTATGTAATCAAAAAGAAAATTATTGTTGCTCTTCAATCGTAACGCATTATCTCAATGCATTTATGCCAAGAAATGAACATCAAAACAAACAGGTAGAAGCAGCCTTTAGCAAGACCTTTCCAAAGATGACAACCCAGAAGCATTGATCTTGCATTGATTTATTGACTTGTATAAATGTGCTGAATGCTTGTCCATTGGCAAACAAATGGTGCACTCTGAACTGTTGCAGAAAAGGCACTGACAATCACTGGCTTGTTACTTCTTAGTCACGTACAATGAAAATTCAGACACTGTGGTGCCTGTGGTGACAGCAAGTAAGAATATAATCATCTACATCTAGCAAGATTCCTGCCACTCATTTGTCGTATACGTTCCTGTTGGCATTATCCACTGTCTAACGCTTTGATTTTAAGAATGTTCCGTTTGATCTGATAATTGGCATTAGAAGATTGCCTTCCTACTGTTTACAGCTATCTTACATAACTTCCAAGTGGGGGTAAGCCGCTAAGCCGGGCGAACAGTAGCAAGCATGGGCTTGTTGACAAGTCGGCACGTATCTAAAGATTATCTAGCAACCCGCGCTCTCACCCACCCGCGACTCTTGTATTCCATTTCTGTCCCCTATAATTCCATAGATAGACCTCTGAGAGGTCTTGCTGGCATTAGGAATTAATGTTCTCAGGTTAAAGCTATGAAAAGATCTAGGAGGATTACCTGACCTAAATTTGCCCCATCATTTTATGTACAGAAGGTTTTACATTTAAACGTTGCATTGCGAGGAATTAAAGATGATCTATAATGCTT